AACTTGTCTGTAACATTTATATTCAAATGCATTTATGCGCTGTTCCGCTTGTAACTATGATTACATCACCTTTGTGTATATATATTTTATCTCTGATAAAATGTTGCCATTAGTTAGAGCATTTATCCTTATCAAATGTACTGTAGTTAGAAATGCCGAGGACATTTGTGAACAGCGCTAAAATAATTAGCCTGGTGGGACCACATTATTCCTATATATATCTGTTTGTTCACGTGGGTAAATGTGCATGCAAATGTGCTTGGTATTTTTATGCATGCTCTGTGTTTGTGATTGTAAGACATTATGGTACGGTGAGTATGGGATGTTACTGGCATATACCTTCTTCGCCTTTTCGTTTATTCGAGGGACGTAATTGCAACTTGCCCGTTTACAGCAGAGCTGCGATATCTGCAGCTTTCAGCAGACATATTCGACTTCGTCAAGCATTTGTTAACCAGGTTAACTTCCCGGATAGCTTTTAGCGACAAGTTGTAGACTTATTTGTGTGGTGTACTTTTTGTCCTCGTATCTACAGGGGTTGCCCCTGGAGAACCCATCTGGGGCAACTGCCTGTAGACTGGTCGGCCCGCAATCCATCTATTAATTTTTTTTTTAAATTTAATCGCTGATGTTCGACCTACTGTGAGCAGTTTTGGCTATATTTGTGGTCTAGTTTCTTTGTGCTAAGTATGTTCGGCTTTCAAGGCAAGGCAGCAGCAGGCATCTCATGGGCAATTCCCATCATCCAAGGAAGCTTCCCTAAATGCAGAGCTGACACATGACACTGGTCCTAGGCTCATCCATGGAATTGTCATGTTCTGCACATGGCTGCTTAACCTCACATCTGTATGTTGAGTTTCCACTTGTCATGGGCTGCATCCTATGAAGATCAGCAGTGAGCAGCCGCAGGTTCAGGACTTCGATGAACACACAAATGGGTACATTCTTCTTCAGCACATCAGACACCTTTAATGCTGCTTCATCTGGACACATATCATGACAATATGAAAAAGCATGCATCTGGCTTGGCTTTCTCTATTTGGTCCCAATACTCTGGCACAAAGGGCCAATGGTAACGGACATGTGAAATTTTCTGCAAACAAGTAGGACTTTTGATGATTGGACATGCAAGACTTTGCTGTTATGCCATGGGGCATGTTTTTGATGGACATTTGGCCTAATTAGCAGACTGACAGAGGTAGACTGCCATGGTATGCCTCAACGCAGTGACGACAATGTTGAGGGTTGATGACAGATGTGCAGAGACAAGACTGTACTGCTAGAAACAGCCCACAGGAAATGTTGCTCGTCTGAGCTGCAAGCAAATCTCTAGGTCTAGGGCTGAGTCTTAACCGAGAGTTGTCATTTAATTGTATATATCGGCTAGTGGGCGTTACTCTTGTTACAAATGAATTTACATCAACATTTTCAAATATGCGTTTAGGGTGTGCTAATAAGACTGGACACTATATCTCTGGGAGTCACTAACTCCCAGATTCCCTGTCAGCTTGGTTCAGGTCACAAAGGTGAGCCCTTTTCTGAAACGCAAAACGAGGACGTGTGGTAGGAGTCTTGCATGAGGATCTGTAAAACCAGCACACAGCCTACCGGGGCCTGAGGTGAGGTACAGAGTATCTCCTTATGTACATCACAATGCCTTTAACGTTCCCTCACGCCTGCGACCAAAATCACCACACCACTGATGGCATACATGAACAAATTGTCACTGGTTTGTCATGCGTGACATGGCATGTAGTGTTTGGTATGTTTTGCATATTGTATATGGTGTCACTAGGCACATCGGAGAACAAAATGTTTAAAAAAAATGTATCTATGACAAAAGATTGATATCCTCTACATTCAGGAGAACCATTTTATTGCAAACTGTCGTTTATCTACCAGAGGCTATATGAAACACATGGGCCATACAGGAGGCATTATTACACTAGTCTGCAAGTCTACTGCCGGCACAGAAGCATCAGCGAGTCTGAACATCTGACAGTCAAACTACATATCCTTCAAGGGCTGCCGTATGTAATCTAGGCTTTTGAATTTAAATATTAGATTCTCAAGACTTCCGTTGTTAGTGACTATCTCAGCACCACCTCTACTGGATAATTTCTATACATTGACCATAAGGTGTCACCTTTAATCCCACCACATGTACTAATAATAATAAAAATCTATACTATAAATCACAAACCCTTTATGCATTTCGTGCATTAATTTGTAATGAAATGTTAACTCTTCTGAAACCATAGCCAATACATTGCCATTATGACTACAATCTTTAATTTAACAGTCACACTGGCGCATTTCTTTTATTTAATGCAACAATCAATAAAAGTTAAGGAACACCCTTTGAAAGTTTTTTTCTTTTTGGTTACCTTAAAAAAAATATTTATAAAAAAAAAAAATTACATATCGCTGTTATCTTCCTTGAAACCACATATCTATATGTGTCTGAGACAAAAAGGGATCACTTTGAGGCAATGACTAAAGATACGGCAACGGTGGGGAAAGTAGAAGACTATATTAAATATAGGTTTTAGGTAGACGTCTTTTTCTACTAGGCCTACATATAGGGCAGCAGTGGAAACCAAGATGAGGCAATGGACGGGAGAATAAGACTTTCTTTCACTAAACCCGGTGGTCGGGCAATTAAATCTAGTAATAATAATAAAATAAAACATGAGCAGTAAAAAGCAGCAGGCCTTAACAAATGAATTAAAGCAGAAGCTGTAAAGGTGGATTTAATTAGCCTTCAATTTAATGGACAAATTTAATGAATTCTGTATGTAATATCACTACTAAGACTCTTCTACGTGGCTCTAACATTTAATTAACATTACATACATACAGATTATTCTGTTGACCTTTCCCCCATTTCAATATTTACATAAATTTACATCTAGGATAGGAATAAGCAAGCATGTGTGAATATAATAACATGTTATTTGCTCAAATTAAATAAGAATTTTAGAATTTATACATATTTTTCTTGTTGAGTATTTTCAAGAATAAGCATAAACATTTTGCAAATGTGTGATTCACTATCAACGGTCTGTGATTCTCTATTTGTGGTAAAACAGAGCAGTATTTACATTCACTATCAGTTACTGATGCGAGTCGCCGTGGTGTAGCGGCTAGACGCTAGCCGGGGATCAGAAAGTTGTAGGTTTGGGTCCTGACAGAGCTGGATTTTTTAAAAAAAAGACCTTGGCTCCCAGGTCAAAAAGCATTGAGTGGAGACCGGGAGCAGATCCTGGAAAGTTAAGGCGCCCGGCAGGATGCTGACCACATCACCCATCACTATGCCCAATCTGCGTGAAGGCATGGAAAATGGTTCTTTACTTTACTTATCAGTTACTGACAGTATCCTTTTCCCCAAGAGTGCATTTGGTATATGGTGCTAGACCCAAATTTGCATAAACCAATCAGCACTCGACTAGTGTGTGGTCAACATCTCTAATTCCTAGGAATATATCATAGCGCTGACCTTGGATTCATAGTAAATCCACTGTCAGTCAGTAGTCTGTCTTTTGCAGAACCTTGCTTTCATTACAACCTTCCTGAAAACTTCTTGATCACAAGCAAGATGTCCCATACACCCATCTGGAGATCATCCACCACATCCTGCACCCATCTTCTCGTTGGCCTGCCTCTTCCTCTCTTCCCAGGCATATACTCCTCCTTTACTGACTGGGGAGTTAAACAGGTACTCCACCTTGTCCAAGAGTGTCCCTTTACATTACATCCACAGTAAAGACTGGGAAGCTAGAATTTATTACCAAATGTCTCTTCTGTGACAATTGTTTTTCTTCTCAGAAATTATCAAATACAAATGTTATATGGTCACTCACAACAAACCAGAAAAGAAAATTAGTAACCGAGGAAATGAGATGTCTGAGATGGGCTGCCGGAGTGACCAGAAGCGATAAAGTCAAGAACAAATTATCAATTACAAACAAAGACAGCAAATTAAAGAGTCTGCCCAATTACAGAGAATGCCTTGACATACCATATCATACATGCCAAAAAAGAAAAAGGATGTATTACAAGGTAGACCAAGAACAAGACGGAAAAATATTTTTAGAGAAACACTACAATAGCACAATGTGACTTTGGTCGAGGTGGCCAGTAGTGCAAGAAGCAGAACCTCTAGACACGCAAGCGGTAAAAGAGAAAACAAAGAAGATCATACAAAAAAGAAAAACTGAAGATAATTCAATAAATGTTTTTTGATCTCTGCATCATTTAATATACAAAAAATAGCTGCAGAAATACAATGAATACTTATCCATAGGTCTTTATTTTAATTATTTTAAAAGATGGAACAGGGAATCGTACTGGCTTGAAATCTCAAAATGACTGACTGGGTCCCCATAGTGGCAAGATTATATCAGGGAGCCGATCCAGTCACATTCAAACAAATCATAACAATCAGGTTGGACTGCAAGAAAAAATATGCTGCCAAAGGAGTTGAATAGGATATATGATTCAGAACGACGAGTTAATTTGCTTTTGTGCATATTACCAAAATATAAAATATTTCCAAGAGTGAAAGGTTATGCAATGGTCACCCATTTCCATCTAAATCCCTTTAAAATGATATAAAATTCATTATATACTATTAATATGCAGGTGTAAAAGTAATGTAAAAATAGTTGTGATTTTCAAGGTTAGATAAATAATTTTGGTCACAACGTAAAAACAATTACATGCAGAATCTGTTAAAAGTAAGGTCAGAGTTTTTTTTCTAAAATCTATTAGTTAAAAGTAATTATTATGAAAACCATATTTGCTTTAATATTACTATATATGAGGCTAAGTAATAATAATGTTCAACAAGATTTTCTATTAAAGGTTTTATATTGAAACATGTGAACATCAATCTACCATTACAGAAATATTTTTTGTTTTCTGTCCAAGTTATAAATTCATTTTTAGCATATTGTGCATCAAGTCTGTTAAGTGAATATAATGTGTAACCTACTCACCGTCAGTCGAAACACATTGTTAAGGAATATCTGGTGTGTTTGAGCAACACAGCGAGTTTGTTGGAATATTAGTTTCAATAGTTCGTTGAGATATTTGGGCTGTACATGATTAACCATGGAGTCTAGCTGCTGACCAGAGCTGAGGGTGGAATAAATGCAACATCGTACAGTACCACCATGATCAGAGAATACTTTACTTGGTAGAAAAGCAAATAAATACTACTGATGAAAAATGATGTAACTGCTGCTTCTATTCATGATGAACTGTATTTTTAGTGTTGGACTGTTTGTGTTGGCACTTCTGGTGGCCGCCTTATTCATTTTATGTGTGTGTGTGTGTATACTACTGGACTTGTTTCAAAAGAAACAGTAATGGATATGTTTGTGGTTTTCTGTGGCATAAGAATATTATTGAGTGACCCTTGGCTATGAAAATGAAATAATGATTACCTTTTCTTAAATATTTAAAAATTGAATTTTAAAGACATCATCATCACGTGCCTTGTCATCATCATGTACCTTGTCTCTTGACATATGAGATATTCTGGATCAGTCGTAGTTTTAGTTATACTGTTTCTTGATGCCACTGTCTCAAACCCACACAGCATCATTTCTCCTAGTCTGCCTCTTCTACCACTATTTTTTTTTTCAATATCAGAGTGTTCTCCAATGCCTCTCTTCTTATCACATGACCAAAGAACACTGTATTTTTCTCAAAGCTGTGTACAATTTTCTACTTCCTTTAGTATTTTGCAGACAACTGTTATTAGTTACTTTGGCCGGTGTGATGTTGCATCACCTGCCAAATGCCAATGAGTCTATAAAATATAGACTTAGCATTAGGTATCAATTATACTCAAGGGCATGAAAAGGGGTCCCATACTTCACCCTGTTACTTTGCTTACTACTCACCTTATTATTTTGTTTGATGCTTTGCTTGTTACTGTTACTGATACCATCGGAATTTCAACTCTTTGCTTGCTGCTGAAGATGGGGACGGAGCCCTTATGGGGGTGTCCGGAGTGCTGTCATGTTGATTCTTAATTCAACATTTGCTTGTTACTTTGCTTGCTATTTTACTTGTCACTTTACCTAACAACAAATATTTATGTGTAATAATCCAACAAGTCAATTCATTACCTTTCTGCTATTTGTTGTGTTGCAGCATTGATTAGCTTGTTCAAACTACCTTTCATGCCAATTTTTAGACGCTGAAACAAAACGTATGCAATTAGTCACCACTGAACATCAGAAGAAAAATAAATAAAGAAAAGATTAAAAATGATATTCCAAAGGATAAAGAATGAAAGATAAAAATTATATACGATTATATAATTAACTTTTAGGAACTCATCGCACCCACACAAAACAGACTTGTCATAGTTGATGGTCTATGCTCCAGAGAAAGCTAAAACGTAGAAGACAACATATGTAATTAACAAATACAACCTCACATAACACTCAATAATCTACTCAAATAAATAAACACTAATAGTTCTGAATATTCAACCACAAACAATAAAAACATAAGTGTCAATTCTGGCATTTAAGCTGAGTTTTTAAGCCCAAAATACCTTTCCAAAACTATGGCATGTAAACAATGCATATGGGCTAACACCCAGAATTCTGAGCTAAAATTCTTGAAGTTAATGCACTAAACTGTTGGCAAGGATACTGTCCCCTTTTTCATATTTTTGTGTGTGTGTCAAGACAGGCACTGGCTGAAATGTCCAGTCTTTCTCGTGTGTCTACGTTCTTGCATATTCCCCCCTCCCCCTTTGTTAAGTTTCTTAGTTACAGTTTAATTTCTTGGTATTAGTTTGATTTAACAGATTAGAACGAATCATCGTGCAGTTAGAGTCAGAAATCTGATTCTATAACAATTGGTGGTTTTGCGATGACAGCTTGTCGGACCGTCGATCAACCGATATGCGCCGAGCTAGAAAGACTTATCTAGGGAGCAAGATGTCATCTACAGGAGATACCGCACCAGAAATATCATTTAGAATAGCACTGGCATCTAGTGCCTTCAATAAACTGTCTAACATCTGGAAATCAAAGACACTTAGCAAACACACAAAACTCAAGATCTTCAATTCTTGTGTGATTCCAGTACTAACCTATGGATGCGAGAGTTGGAAATCAACGAAAACTCTAGACACAAAATTAGACAGTTTTGAAAATAAATGCCTTAGAAGAATACTAAATTTCAAATGGTCAGATTTCCGAACCAATACACAAATAAGGCAAGAATCCAGGCAAGAGTATGTGTCTAATTTTATACGAAAACGCCGCTGGAACTATGTCGGCCACGTCCTTAGAATGGATAAATCAAGACTTCCTTACCAAGCCCTCATTTGGACACCACAGGGGAAAAGATCTCGTGGAAGACCAAGGGAAACCCTACGTAGAACTATCATCAGGGAAGGCTCGCTCATGGGCCACTCAAACATCCAAGACCTACAACGGATTGCAACGGACCGCCGTGCATGGAGAGTCACGACCTCTGCCCTATGTGCCGCACTCGACACAAGAGGAAAGACTAACTAACTAACTAACTAATTAGTTTGATTGCAGTCACCTCTGTTTTCACCACTTACAAAAATCTTGAGGTCGATATGTAAATCAGGTAAACATGTAAGCCACAGTTTATGGTAAGTTAGGACAATTCAGTATGGTTTTAAAGGATTGGTTATGCTGTTATGCTTGTTAATTTTGCCAAAATATTTCTCGTCTTATTTTTTTATTTTTCTAATAACTTCTTTCAGAAACTCAATTTTTTTCCTTGTCTCTTCAAAAACACTGCATCTGATTGTTTTAACTTACAAAAGAAATTGTTGATTAAAAAAAAAATCAAAACTTTAGATGAATATGAACAAACCTCTACAGCATCCGGCAGTTTCCTGAGAACAAAAAGTGATTCTGTCAATATTGCGATGAAGTTGTTCAAGTTATCCTCAGGATTGCTATTCAAATCTTCTTTCACTTCAAAGGCCTTGTTTACAGATGTCTCACTCCCCTCTACTTCTGAGAAATAGGAAAACAATCATTGCGTCAGTATCAGTTTGGCAGAAATTAAACTTCACATGTGTAGATTTTCATATAAATCATCTTTTGTAATTTTTGACTTAATGGGGCATAGGTGAAGTACTTTGTACATAGTGACTGTAAAGTTTCTTGAATCAGAGTCAGGACTGTATTCTACAGGCAGACAATTTAAGACATTCAAATAAATATTACGTAGTTCTTATAAGGCAGGTATTACAGAGACTATATATGTGTATATAAAAAGTTAGTTGTGTATCTTTTACAGGACATTGCAGAACCAACCCCAGCATTTTTTGGCTGTTGTGGTTTTTCTAGGCAAATTTACGTCCAGTAGTTTGCCATAGATTTCTGGATGGTCAGCTTCTCGATACCACTATTGACACCCACGCAAGGCCCGCAGCTGGAATCGAACCCGGCACCCCGGCATTACGAAGTGCGTTCGCAATGCCTAAGCCACAGATGCCTGCACACACACACACACACACATATATACATACATACATACATATATACAAAAACTTAGTTGCTTGTCCTTTATAGGATGTTGCAGAACCAACCCTAGCAATTATTGGCTGTTTGTGACTTTAAAAGGCAATGTTTATTCAGTAATCTGTCATTGCTTACTGAACGGTTGACTCTCAATACAGCTGTTGAAACCAATACAAGGCCGACTGCTGCCAAATTCCTCACACCTGGGATTGAAGCTGGCATCTCAGAATTAAGAAGTGTGTTCGCAACGCCCAAATCACAGACAATGATACAAGTAGTCTTTCCGCTGTGGCTTTTGGTCTGTGTAAAACGGTTGTTTTTTTTAAACAGATTTTTTTGTTTTCAGGTATTCCTGAATTAGATAAAGACAAAACTTGATATGGCAACAGCCACGATGTCATAGCTGAATACGATGTGGAAGAGCAAAATCAGCATCGTAGGTAATTTCAATATTTACAAATAACTGGTATTGTCTATTTTCTTATACGGACGTGAGAGTTGGACTCTCACTGTGGAAATGGAAAGGAGGATTCAGGCTTTTAAATGTAAATGCTCCAGATGCATTTTACAAATTAGTTATTTAGAACATACAACTAATAAATATGTCAGCAACAAAATATACAAATTTGCTGGGCATCAGGAGCCTCTCTTGACAGTGGTGAAAGGTCGCAAGCTAGCTTGGTTCAGGCACGTTGTGAGACAATTTGATTGCAAAGACTGTTCTTCAAGGAGCATTGAGGGAAGTCGTAGAAGAGGAGGGCAAAGAAGAACATGGAATGACAACATCAAGAAATGGACAGGACTAAGTTATCATAAACTTATTCATCAAGCCGAAGACAGAGACAGATGGCAGATTTGATGTACTAGTGCTTCCATCAATACACCTCCATGACCCTTATGGGTCAAGGGTTACGTTATGTTATTCCTGAAATACAGATAAATGGGTTGGTTTTCTATGGTTTCTAGAACAAAAGGGTTAACAAGTCTCATCACAAGGATAATGTCCACTACTTACTTGGAAATTTTCTTGGGGAGTCCATGCCATCTGACCACCCCCAAACACTGGCATCCTTACGGCTCAGCCTCATCTGACTGCCTCTCTGAAGGCTTGATGTGGGCAGTGACCTTTCATAGATTTGCTTTGTGAGTTCCTCTATCAGCGTCTCATGCATTTTCTAATACAAAGATCAAACAGTTGGTGATTTTTTCCCTTTTCCAAAATGAATTTAAGGATAAAAATAAAGACATTAGGAAATGAAAAGACAATTTTCTGCTGAAAAATCATGCTAAATTATCACTAAGATAACTGGATATATGATGTCAGACTCACATTTTTGCAGAACAATGAACACTCGATAGGTCATGTGGACAACATGATGTCGGTCCCTTTACTTAAAAAGATTTTACCTGTTACCCATTTTAGGATTGATCAACTTGGGAATCTGGGTAATTTTCTACAAATAAAAAAAAAAAAAAAAACTCGATGCGGATTCGAATTCAAGATGTGTAGGCTGGCAACAATATATCAATCAAAAAAAAATCTAAAGGTCACTGCATTGTTTTAGCTCACTTCAAATGTTTTTGTTTCTTTTAAACCTGAACACTCAACAAAAAAATATGTGCTGCATTTTGTTGTATACTAAAACAAAGTTTGTTAATGTGACAATAAATCAAATCTATGTTATGTGTGTGTACCAAGGTCAATGTACACCATGAAAAGGGAAATAACGCATGTTTGAAAATGATTCCTGTGGTGAAGCTTGTTGATAACACTGCTGAAATGTGTTTCTCATGTGCAAGTTGTGACTATAGTGAACACACATCCCTCACTTTTGGGAAGGAACTGGCAATGGGTACGTTTGTAACATTTGCTATTTCAGCCATGGCTCAGCAAATATCCTTGATCAGTGTTGACAGATGGAGAGCAACAGCATGGCTGCAGGATGATGTTGCGCTGCAAGATGTTGCTAGGAGATTAGGAGTTGCCCATTCTGCCATACAAACTGCATAATCGTTACAATGCAATCGACAGTGCTGCAAAACAACACAGGTGAGGACAGAGAAGGTCTACCACAGAAGTATATATAAGCAGTATATATGATGTGCTTGAAGACATCTTATCAGAAACAGAAAGAGACAGTCATAATTTTTGGGGTCATGTTATGAGAAGAAGGAAACTTGAACATGTTGTGACCACTGGAAAGATCTTTAAACAAAAAAGACAGAGGAAGAGAGTGTGAGAAGATTCTTGACAGTCTTTAGTCATGGCATGGAGGGGTGTCAACACACAAATTGCTACACGCAAGTGCATATTGCAGATTGTGGAGAGGAATGATTGCCCACGCCAGTCGGTGTGATTATATATGACGTAATAATATACACTGGAATTATTTTGATTATTAAGAGGGTATCATAGAATCTTGTATTTAATGATGTGTGGTTAACATTTAAAATACCCCCCCCCCCCCAATCCCGCTTTCCCCAAAGATATGCTTGGTATCTTCAAACAGATATACCACCAAAGTGTGAAGTTTTAGTAGCAGAAGGAATTTCATTCCTGTAGTACTGTGCAAAGTTGTGCTGTTGGGCAGGCGCCAGTCAGCGCCACTGTGTTGTTCAGTGCCGAAGTGAGCTTTCCAGGGCAGAGACCTGGGTAATATGGACTGATCGATCAATCAATCAGTTTGAGATTGTAAAATCTCAATCTGGATAGCAGACCAATAGGCAGATCCCAAAAACCCTGTTCAACCCCGAAAGAAGTTATTTATTAGGCTACTCACATTAGCTGCACTAGTCTACAGTCCTATGTGGGTAAGAACATTGTATATGGAAAAACCAGCTGTTGTCCAGCAGCAGATTCCCCCACTCCATGTCACTGATGTTGTGAAGTATTAGTCTTTTGCATATTCTAAGCCACGGTACTCTTTTTCACGTGTGGGTTCTGAGATCCCATATTTGGGGGGGGGGTGGGGGGGGGGACAAAGAATATGCCTACTGCCACCCCCCCCCCCCTTTTTTTTCTGACAAGCATGTCCTAGAAGTCGAAAAATGTGGGGTGTTTCCTCTGAAGCTGGAGTGCATCTGCCTGAGAGGTGAGGAACCAACAGTCTGCATCAGATCTGTTAAAAGGATGTGCATGCAAAACTAAAATTCTAGAACAAGTCCAAAGTCCAGAAGTGGATGAACAACTAGAATGTTTAGCCGAAGTTTACAGCTGATGAACACTAAGAAGATGAAAAAAAAACATCTTAGATCATTTGGGAAGCTCTTCCTGACTTTATCAGATGAAAAGGCTTCAGTAAATGAGGTATTGCTGGGGGGGGGGGGGGGGAATATCATGTCAGTAATCATGCAGCACTTGCCTGGTGAGATAGCAGTTCAGGTTTTGATGCTCAGACTATTTTCTCTTTAAGATTAGTAATGGTTCTGGGGTCAACACAGTCTCATGAAAATGAAAACCAGATAATTTCCAGAAATGTGTGGGAAAATAGTGACAAGGAAATGAATTGGCCACCCAACCTCAAATATTGTGGCCTAGAATGTGTCAAGGCCAACACTTCATACCCCAACAGCGGGATCTGATTTATCATTAATCAGTGGAGAGCATGCCAGCAGCATTGTCTCACAGCTAATACAAAGAATGAACAACAGCCGCTACAAACAATACTGCTACAAACAGTACTGCTACAAACAGTACTGCTACAAACAATACTGCTACAAACAGTACTGCTACAAACAATACTGCTACCAACAATACTGCTACAAACAATACCACTACAAACAATACCGCTACAAACAATATTGTGACAAACAATACTGCTACAAACAATATTGCGACAAACAATACTGCTACAAACAGTACTGCTACAAACATTACTGCTACAAGCAATACCGCTACAAACAATACCGTTACAAACAATATTGTGACAAACAATACTGCTACAAACAATATTGCGACAAACAATACTGCTACAAACAGTACTGCTACAAACATTACTGCTACAAACAATACTGCTACAAACAGTACTGCTACAAACAATACTGCTTCAAACAGTACTGCTACAAACAATACTGCTACAAAGAATACTGCTACAAACAATACTGCTACAAACAATACTGCAACAAACAGTACCTCTTTAAAACTGATGAGATCAGACTTGACCTCTCTCAATGCATCAATTCCATTCAGAGGTCCCTCCAGCACTGCCACTAAAAAAAGGTAGAGAATATATTTACAAACACTGAGCTTGAATTAAAGTTTAAGAAAATACTAGAACAAACATTTAATTTTTAAATTTAAACTTTAATAAAATGATAGTCATAAAGCAGGTGACTAAAAGGTGAGAGGATTCACTTCCTTGCATCAGGGTTTATCCCATCTGGCACAGTCTCTATTTAGAGAGTAGCTGGCTGTACGATTACTATAGCTTCAGCAATGAGAACTAGGAATATTCAAAAGAAAAATACTGCGCTTATAAATCGTTCTCTCTTACCCTGCTGTGAAGACCTCTTAAACTAATTTAATGATAATGGTTAAAATTACTGAGGTTTTGAACAACGGTTCATGGCACATGGGTTGTAAACCATAAGTGCTCCGTTCTTCTTCTAACTCAAGTCTGAGCCCGAATAAGCTTAGCCAGCACAGTGCACAAGCTCTGTAGCACTGGCGAGGATCCTGAAATATTTTGGGTAGATTTTAAACTCAAAATTTTGCCCGGGCAGCGCCATTTGGCTATGTTTTTTTTAAATTTCAAACTGCTAAGGGATTTTTTTACATGCGCAACAATGCACACGGGCATTTGATCTCACTACCCAGAGACCAGGGGAAATTACTAGAATTTCAAGTCCACGTGAAAAAATCCCAGTCCTTACCAGGGACTGAACCTGGAACCTCTAGCACTCGAGGCGGGCATTATGCTTTGAGAGTTAAAATGACTGACAATGATAACGGTTAAAAAATAATTCACCTGTAAAGTCACTACCATGATAGAATGCAATTGCAAACCACCTCCTTCAATGATGCCCAGAAAGTTATGATTCGATAAAAGACCATTTGGCATAAGTGGGACAAGAATATAGACCAGATCTGAGATCTGAGTCTCTCATTGTGCGAGATAATGAGATGTGATCACTCACACTGATCAGCCTGGCACATGATAATGATTACAGTGAATAGAGAACCACTTACCAGCTTGAACAATGGTGTCCGTAGCATGCAGATAGTGCTTGTTGGCAATGTACGTATTCATCTTGTCCTGAACTTCTTTGATCTGCTCCCTGAAAAATACAAGTGTTTTCAATTTTAAAAATCTATTTAAAACCACCTGATGCTACATTTGCACACACACCGCACACATTTTAATACAGTTTAATAATCACAGTATATAAAAGTTTAGGAAGTCATCATGGTGTCGCGGCCAGAGGCTTGCCTGCAGATCGTTAGGTTGTGAGTTCGAGTCCTGGGGCAGAAATTTTCATAAATGACCTTGGCTCCCAAGTTAACCCAGCCTTGATTGGGTATCAGGTGCAATCATAGGAAGTAAAGGTGACCGGCGTGATGCTAACCACATCACCCACTAAGTGCCGATTGGTCTATAAAATACAAGTCTAGACCTATATGCCCAAAGGCATAGAAAAGAGTCCTTTACTTTTTTTAAATTTAAACTCCAGAGGATTGGCTACACTGCATCTGGTTTTATCCTATATGGCTCTGTTGCTATTCAGAATGGCTAGCTGCCTGCTGAAAGCATTAAACAAGCATGAACTCTGAAATTCCAGCAAATCTTTTTAATCTTCCTGCCAGTGGTTGAGTTATGTTGTCTTCTTCTTCTTCTTCATTAGTTTTAAACTCCGGCAGAAAGTTCTGGTTGTTCGTCCACTTCTGGACTGCAGTCCTGTTACAGAACCTGAGTGTTGCGTATGTATCCATTTTACAGATCTGACTCATTTGTATGCAGCCTGCTGGTTCCTTGCCTCTCAGGCAGATGCACTCTGACTTCAAAGGAAGCTCTCAATTAGTTGACTCTTACGACATGCTTTTGGGTAGGCAGTGGTGGGTCTATTCTTATTTTCCCTATAATAGGGCCCCGGAACCCATAGGGTGAGCAACGTTAAGTCAAGAATTGACATCACAGCACTCGAGGCATTCCCATGCGTTAATGCCAGGGGTTTTCATTTGAGAAAGCCTCGTCTCTATGAAGTCTGTGGTGGGACCACATCTTCCACTGATCCATACAGCTTTGTATCCACTTGAACGCCAAGCCTGGGATCTTTCTTTAACATGCAGAAAGCACATCTGTAGCACATGTGCTAATATTCTGGGGTGCTTGTTCACGTGGACACAATTCTGAATCCTCAATTTTGAATTTCCTGTACTTATGGCTGCAGAGTCTGTTGTGTCAAGCACACATGGTCTGTTTCTTTCATGTGAGGACATTCATTAGGTCTTCACGATAGTGTCCTGGATGAGAAGTGTTCCATCAGGTTTAAACGACTGCCTTGATCTCAATTTTATTTTCCTCGTAAGTACCAGGGGTTCCTGTAAAACTGTTACTCATGAGCTGAATAATGCAGTCTCTGAAATGAACCCAAGACTCAGAGCATGAGGTAATTGGCTCAACCAATAATCAAAAAGATCCTGCATGGAATACAGCTAATTAGTGAAGGTGATGACCATGTTTCTCTCACCATACCTTTTCAATATATACCCAAAAAATGTAATGAGAATGTCAAAAATGATCAGACTTGTGACAGTTATGATCCGCTCAAAATTGGTGGCAACCCTATTCTGGAACTCCGCTACGCAGATGACACAGTCCTCCTTTCGAACAGCGTAAAGGGAATAGAAAATTTAATATTGTCTGTCCAAAAGCACAGTGAAGATCAAAATCTGTTCTTGAATTGAAAGAAAACTAAAATTATGTCCACAGATAAAACTGGCTGTCACCCAAAAATAACAATAAATGATGAAGAAATTGAAAATGTTTAGAGCTAAAAAAAAAATGTCAGACAATTTAAGCCAGTGGTCTCCAACCTGGGGGAGGAAGGGGGAGGGGTGCATCCCATGGTAGTTGGGGGCAAGAAGTTTTAAAAAGGGAGGGGAGGGGGTGTCAAGCAATTCTGAAAATGAGTGGATCTGTTCTTGTAATAATCGGTCATGCTAACATTTTGTTTTAGTTTAATAATAATATTTTTTTTTAATCTTGGGGGGAATCTTGAAATGAACTCTAAGAGGCAAAGAGGTCTTGTTCTCTGCTTAAGGGGGCGTGATCTGAAAAAGGTTGGAGACCACGGCTTTAAGCAATATTTCTATGCTAATTATTAACTGCAAAAATTTCTACAGAGAGATTTGTAACCACACAATATGTTATATATACTGACACTTGTTCCAACATTGAAAGTACAGCTTTATGTTCCACTCCATCCTTCCATAATTTGCGCAGCTCATCCCTCTTAAAATGCAATAGCATTTTACATGAGTTTAGATCCTCCTTGATCTTATGGATTTTGTCACGAGATTCTGTGAAACACAGAAAGATATTTAAATTATATTCCTGAAATTCCAAAAATAGTGGTACATCATTATATATTTATTTTCCTATTAAAAGTAAAGATCCATTTTCATGCCTTTAGGCACATCGGGCATATGGGAAGAGCACCCATATTTTTACAGACCAATCGGCACTAGGTGGGTAATGTGGTCAGCATTACGCCGGCCGTCTTTACTTCCCCAGGACATACACCCTGGTACCCATTTGCAAACAGACTAAGATGCAAACAGACTGGCCCAAATGACGAGAAGAGAAAGACAGGAAATATTTGTGTCAAATGGAAAAATTTATGAAAAGAGAGGTAAACAGAAGATTCTTGACAGCTTTTTGTCATGGCATTATTATATAATGCTTGAGACCACAAGAAATTGAAAGCTTGACTGCACATGCCAGTGGGCAAGGCATTTAAAGATGAAGATAATTAAAATAACAGTTCTTTTCACAGGTTTCTGTCTCTGTGTACTGCAATAAAAGGTTTTCTCTAAAAATTTCAATTTTTCACATTGTTTGTATTTCTCTATAGAAACAGAACAATTCTCTCTACAGTGGATAAGTCGTGGTATTCAATGTGGCTGGTTGTCAGTTTTTGTGCAAGCTGGTGAAACTGTGACCAACGACAAACTGCATTTCGGGTGGGGATTGTTGAGTTTGGCCCCTTTAGCAACTACCATATGCATTTACTGCCTGCGCATATTTCTGGTTTGTATCGGACAATTTTTTGTCCACCAGTTTTCCAAATGGGACAGTGATGGACATTTAATTTGATTTTCACTGGCACAGGAGTTGTTCAAGTATGGGGTTACCCAATTGTAGTGAAGTTGAAACCTCATTTAAGACCAAGACTAAGACTTTGTTACTTGGATAAATTTTTTTTTTTAATTTAAAAAAACAGATATTCAGTTGCAACAATACTAATGACGCAGTTACTCTATTCAAGGTATTGTCTTCTACAAATGATGGAGCAAAATTAGCTTAAATGCATAAATTTCACAAATACAGCAAAAACAAAAGCTGGTATATGTTGCTTTTATTGAAGACTTGTAATTTAATAAAATGTCCTAACCAGCTACTTTAAAAAAAATGAAGCAAAGTTAGTTCTTATGCATACAGTATTTCATAATTACAGCTTTAACAAAGTTAATATAAATATTATTTTTATACAAGATAGTTGGAATTTATTAAAATGACATATCCTTTTAGAAAAAAAAAACGAAGCAAAATTAGATCTAATGCATACAGTGTTCATAATTACAGCTTTAAATAACTTAATTACACCAAAAATTTGTTTATTTCATACATTTGGTAATTAATGAAAATTTGTGTATCCTTCTGCAAAATATGGAGGGTAAATAGCCCCAATAAATAAAATACTTAACACATTCAGTTTCAACCTTACCATTAATACTCTTGGTCATGCCATTAAAAGCCTGCAGAATTTTGGCAACATCCTGATAATTTTCTGTAAGAGAAAACAAACTATGAATGTGCTATGAATTAATGGCGTTATATCCACATACTAAACACAACAAATCGGCCCCACAATTTTTTGAATCCCGGCAAAGTTAAGTAAAGTCAGAGACCCATTTCATGCCAGTGGCGTTGTGAACATAATATGAGAAACAGCTTTATAGATGAACCAGCGATCAATGGGTGCTGTAGTCAACATTATGATGGCTGCCTTTATTTCCCAGGGCATACCCAGGTAAACATTTTAGGCTTGGTCGACCCAGGAAACAATGTCAATTCTGTTTTCAAATCCACCCAGCAATAATAAAAAAACAGTCCTTCTTCTCTCTGCAAAATACATGCCTATAATAAAGTTAACATAAATCAAGACTTTGACCAGCTGACTGTTTTAATCTCTCTTTTTTCCCATATTAATTTGATATTTTCTAAAAAATATTTTTGTATGTAAGGTAACATATGCCTATGCCTGGGAAGGGAGGAAGGCCAAAGAGAAGCATATGTGGAAGAGAGAAAGAGGAAGGCCAAAAAGGAGCATTTGTATTCAAAGGTAAAATGTCTTTGAATACAAATATTATAGATAGGTTCTATCATTGGTAAAGAAAAGAACAAATGCACCCATACTTCAAGAACTGAATACTGAAGAAGGTTGGCTATTAAAGACGATAAACCACAGAAAATTGAAATGTTCTGGTCACTTGAAACGTCAAGAAAGTTTAGAGAGAGCAATGATGGAGGGGTATATACCTGGGAAGAGAGGAAGAGGAAGGCCAAAGAAAAGATAGGTGCAGGATGTGGCGGATGATCTTCAGATGAATACATCGGACGCGGGACATCTTGCTTGTGATCGAGAAGTTTTTAGGAGGGTTGTTATGGGAGCAAGGTTCTGCAAAAGACATGCTACTGACTGACTGAAAGTAACAGCTACCGATTGACTGAAGGTAACATAACAGTAAGTACTGGTGTAACATGGTAAATTTTAGGCTTCACATTTACTAAGTCATGCTATGAAATGGTCAGTTCTTTGGATAGCATGCTTTTCTCTTAAAACAATTATGAAAATAATATTCCTTCTTCTTCTTTTGTACTACTGCTAATGCCATAAAGCATGACAAGAGTTAGATGTAGTTTTCTCTCTTCAGATAGCTGAGTAGCTTGTGCTGATGTCACATCGAGTTTCTGTAGTGTCTCTTTTACACCCTCCACCCTTTTCCTTCTTGGTCCGCCTCTTGCCTTGTAGCCTGCTGTTCTCACATAGTATGTCTAGCTGCTGGCTGAATATGAAAATAATTATCTCCATGTTATGAGGCCAGATCAACATCAGAGCCATACTGGTCAACTAAATATAATCCAGCCATTGCTATGGATGCCTGTGTATTATCAGGGTCATTAAGGGAAGCAAACAATGGTAACACTGTAATCTACAATGCATACCATCAGAGGCAACTAAGGAGGGCTGGCAACCTCATCTTGTACAAAACTGTACCTTTAAAATCCAAACATTTAAGGTAAGTATAGGGAATCTTTTTATACAAATGGCACATCAGGAATATGATGTTAGACTTTTATGTATATGAGTCTAACATCATATTCCTGATGTGCAATATATATATAGACAAATTAGCACTAAGAGTCATGCAGTCAATATCCCTAAGACCGCTTTTACTTCCCAAAACATTGCATAGAATATAATTATAGTCAGGGTCCATATGGGAACCAAAGTCAATAATTTTTTTTCCAAGTCCGCCCGGAATGGAACAACGAATCATGGACAAGTCTATAAAGAGCTTGGTATTAGTTGGCTGAGGATCTATGCTCCACTGGAAGATAAAAGACACAAGAACAGTACTGGGACGGAACTTTGGAGTATAATATTTTAGTAAGTAAGCATATTTATTATTGTGCTATCACAGCTCTCATTGTTTTTCAGTATCCTGATACAGCTCACTTTTATCAATCAGATCTAATCATGAAAGAAGCTCCAGTAACGAGACTTGAATGTGCCACCAGTATCCTTATACAGCTCTAATTGGTTTTATCAATCAGATCTAATCATGAAAGAAGCTCCAGTAACAAGACTTGAATGTGCCACCAGTATCCTTATACAGCTCTAATTGGTTTTATCAATCAGATCTAATCATGAAAGTAACTCCAGTAATGAGACATGAGTGTGCCACCAGTATCCTAATACAGCTCTCATTGTTTTTATCAATCAGATCTAATCATAAAAGTAACTCCAGTAACGAGACAGGAGTGTGCCACCAGCATCCTGATACAGCTCTAATTGTTTTTATCAATCAGATCTGATAATAAAAGTAACTCTAATAATGAGACAGGAGTGTGCCTTCAGTATCCTGATACAGCTCTCATTGTTTTTAGATAATCTGATCTAATCACAAAAGTGTCTCCAGTAATGAGACATGAGCATGCCATCGGTATCATTGGCTCTCTGTTGTCATCCAGGACAGAAAGGTTAGAAATGAAGGAACCCATTTTCTTCCAGAAAAAAAATAGGTTGGTGTGGTCAGGTGGGGGGGGGGGGGGGTGAGGGAGAGGAGGGGTATGCCCAACACACTGTGTGGCACAACGGCTTAACCAATAAACAGACAATTAGAAAGTCAAACCGAGGTCCTGGAAATGTGTGTAAAAATGTACACACAATTTAAAATCAGTGAATCAGCCATGTGCAAATGTGGATTGGCACCTGAGACAACAGATCATGTCCCCCAAGACTGTCCCAAATACAACATATCAAGACAAAACTATTAGCCAAGAGAAATACCAGTGCAAGCCAAACTTTACGGGTCACTGAGTGAATTACAAAAGACAGAGAAGTTCATACTGGAGATAAGACTACAGATATAGATAATCTATTTCAAGCAAATGAAAGAAGAAGAAGAAGAATAGATAAATCAGGACCAAACATTTACCCCCAAGAAACAATGTAACAAACAGGTGCCAAAACTGAAACAGTGTGCTTCAAGAAGGACTATCCTCACTGGAAATATTTATACAACAGACATTACATAAAAACATAAGGAACATAAATATTTATGTTGTATTCCTCATTGCTTTTACCTGCTACAAGTTCCCCAAGTTGTTTGTCACTCTCTCTATAAGCTTTTTCAATTCTTGTCTTCTCTTTCTCTCTCTGTTCAAAATCAGCACTGTATGGGGAAAAACACAAAAGTATCAATAACACAAGGTCTCCTCAACTTAGGATCAAATTCCACTCCAAGTAACACACTGCAAGTCAAATTTATATTTTTTCAACACTATTTTCATTCAGGCGGTCTCAGTCTCTTGTGTGGGTATGGGACAGTGTACAGAATAGCAACGGCCCATGTTTATACTTGAAAGACCGATAGTTGACCCATAGTTCATTCAGGCAGAATAGGGTCGGTGTCTGTACTTGGATGACCGATAGTTGAATGTCAGTTCAGCCAGATGAATTCATGACAGCAGTAAATCGCTGAGGATCAATTCCATCCAAAGTGGAAGAAAAGTGATTGTTACTATTTTATAGGATGTTACCCCACAACTTTTAAAAATAGAGCTTACCGGGGCTTGTTTTCTGACGGTACACAATACCGGCACCTTTGCAGGTATCATTATTTTTTCCTTAGTGCTACTGTAACAGACAATCTGTGATGAGTACCGGCACCTTTTGAAGACACTGTGGTGAGTGCCGGCACATTGCTTTTAGAAAAAAGCCCTGGCATTTACTTTATTAAAATAACATTTATAAATAACATTCTGTGAACATGAATTGACTGTAGAACTGTACAAATTGCACTCGCAAACGTGCACACGCCTGCTCTCTCTCTCTCTCACTCACTCTCTCTCTCTCACACACACACACACACCAACATATGCACGTAAGCAAACACACACACACTCTCTCTCTCTCTCTCTCACTCTCTTTCTCACACACACACACACCAACATATGCACGTAAGCAAACACACACACACACACACTCTCTCTATTTCTCTCTTTCCCACACAAATGGTACTGAATTTTGTTTTGATGTTTTTAAAGCATAATATTATTTGTATTAATCTATTCACTTTGACACTGGTTATTATTTCAAATGAAAACTGCCTACACAGCACACAAAAATAATCATTTATTCTGCTCAAGTGTTTGTTAATAAGCATCTTACCTTGAAGACAAGGTCCTCACAATGGACATCAAATATGCCGACTGGGGAGAAAAAACCCCAGAGAAATGTTACTGTTTATTTTATAAATCTACCAGGGCTTGCATTATAAAAACATGTCAGCAAAGTATTGATAATTTAAGATGTTTCTAGATCACACTTTAAAAGTATAAGGACAAGGAAAATAACATGTATGGGGCACAGTCAAGACCAAACAACTGACTACTTGTTTCATATTACTAAGATATTGTAATGTTTGCATAGTCAAGACCAAACAACTCACTACATGTTTCGTATTGCTAAGATAGTGTAATGTTAGCATAGTCAAGACCAAACAACTCACTACATGTTTCATATTACTAAGATAGTGTAATGTTAGCATAGTCAAGACCAAACAACTTACTGCTTGTTTCATATTGCTAAGATATTGTAATGTTAGTATAGGCAAGACCAAACAACTTACTGCTTGTTTCGTATTGCTAAGATAATTTAACGTTCCCAATGTTTTCCACAAAATAAAGGCAGAGAAGAATTTACGAGGAAAGCTTAAACAGCTGGGTAGTAAGTAATAATATACAGAAGTTTTTTTTGTTTTTTTTTAAAAAGACACAAATTAGAAGTAAATTGTGTTCTTATTTTTCTGCATCATTTCAAACCCTTGAGGTTATTTGCTGCAGATATCATCCACCTCTGTTCATCATTCTAGCTGGCCTTCTCTTTTCCAGCTGGTGACTCCAAGTGTCTATAGCCCTCATTATGCCAGTAACTGGTGATGATTTAAAGGCATAATGAATTTCAATGTTGTTTCTCACTCTCCATTTTTTACATCACTGATTGGTCCACAAATGAGTCTTAAGACTGTTCTCAAAAGTTTGTAATAAGGCTTATCTCTGTTAGTTGCATTCCAGGTTTCACAGCCTGGAAGAAGAGATATGATGATAATCCTGGAAGAAGAGATATGATGATAATCTCTGCTGTGGACCAGATATATACAAAAGATGAATCAACTATGTCTGATCCTTTAAAACACTGCCATCATCATTATCTACCGCTGCTGCTGCTAACTAACTACTACTTACTAACTACTAAGTAACAACTACTAACAACTAACTACTACTAACTAACTACTGCTACTAACTACTACTAACAATTACTAACTAACTACTGCTACTAACTACAGCTACTAACTGCTGCTGCTAACTGCTACTGCTAACTGCTACTAACTGCTGCTACTAGCTGCTACTATCTGCTGCTACTAACTGCTGCTACTAACTGCTGTTACTTTCTGATGTTACTATCTGCTGCTACTAACTGCTGTTATTTTCTGATGTTACTATCTGCTGCTACTAACTGCTGCTACTAACTGCTGTTACTTTCTGCTGTTACTATCTGCTGCTACTAACTGCTGCTAATAACTGCTGTTACTAACTGCTGCTACTATCTGCTGCTACTAACTGCTGCTACTAGCTGCTACTATCTGCTGCTAATAACTGCTGCTACTAGCTGCTACTAACTGCTGCTACTATCTGCTGCTACTAACTGCAGCTACTAACTGCTGCTACTAGCTGCTACTAACTACTGCTACTAACTGCTGTTACTACCTGCTGCTACTATCTGCTGCTACTCTCTGCTGCTACTAGCTGGAACTAACTGCTGCTACTAGCTGCTACTAACTGTTGTTACTAACTGCTGCTACTATCTGCTGCTACTAACTGCTGTTACTAGCTGTTACTATCTGCTGTTACTAACTGCTGCTACTAGCTGCTACTATCTGCTGCTACTAACTGCTGCTACTAGCTGTTACTATCTGCTGCTACTAACTGCTGTTACTAACTGCTGTTACTAACTGCTGCTACTAACTGCTGCTACTAGCTGCTACTAACTGCTGTTACTAACTGCTGCTACTAACTGCTACTAACTGCTGCTACTAACTGCTACTATCTGCTGCTACTAACTGCTGCTACTAGCTGTTACTATCTGCTGTTACTAACTGCTACTAACTGCTGCTACTAACTGCTGCTACTAACTGCTACTATCTGCTGCTAGTAACTGCTACTAACTGCTGCTACTATCTGCTGCTACTAACTGTTACTATCTGCTGCTACTTACTGCTGCTACTAACTGCTGTTACTATCTGCTGCTACTAACTGCTGCTACTAGCTGTTACTATCTGCTGCTACTAGCTGCTGCTTCTAACTGCTGCTACTAACTGCTGTTACTAACTGCAGCTACTAACTGCTGCTACTAACTGCTGCTACTAACTGCTGCTACTAGCTGTTTCTATCTGCTGCTACTAACTGCTGCTACCAACTGCTGCTACTATCTGCTGCTACTAACTGCTGCTACTACTAACTGCTGCTACTAACTGCTGCTGCTGCTGCTATTAACTGCTGCTGCTGCTACTACTACTACTACTACTTAAAGAAACATTATTCATTGCTTTTATTATGGTTAGCATAATATATGTTTTCCGCATTCTCTTTTGACCTTAGACTAAATGCTAATATAACTCAACTGATCAGTCATGTCCTCAGAAGGGACCTAAATACCAGCGTCAGGACTGCCAAACAGTAGGAAAATGTAATAATAAATTATTCTGGCTACTGCTCCTGCTAGTTGGTGGTCCATTGGTCAGGGGGTGAAACTGGCTTTTGTCATTTCTGTTGAATGTACAATGTCTTTAATGTCATCTATCCCTTTTCTTCTTGGATGACTTCTTTCTGTTGTAAAAGTTCTTCTTAGATGCAGCAAAGAATAATGCCCAAATCAACTGATCTTCCGCCTCTTAAAGTATTTCTTTTTCTTAGCGTTTACCTGCTGTAAATCCCACTGAAAATTTTGGTTGTCTGTCCACTTATGGACTTTAATCTTGCTCCAGAACTTGAGTTTTGCGTGCACATTGGTGTTACAGATCTAGCTTATTTGTAAGCAGACTACTGATTCCTCACTTGTCAGGCAGGGGCATGCTGATTCAGAAGGAAATACTCCCACTTAGTTGCCTTTTGTTTAGTTGCCATCAGAGAACAACAAATTAATTGGAAGTCCACAATTTAAGACGCCGGAAGTCCACAATTTATATGTGACTGGGGCCCTGTTAGGGTATATTTTCGGCCTCGATAATTTGGGACCGTTATTCGGAGGATAGCCATAACATTTATTTAAAGTGGTATAGGACATGAGTTTCTGAGTCTGAGGACAGGGCCGCACAGCTAGTGCAGTCACTAAGAACTGAGCAGGTTAGATTAAGAATGCCAATTTCTGTTCTGGTCAGACCTTTATAACCTAACCGAGGTCTGAACTCGGGTCTTCCGCATGACAACTGCATACAGTCCTAACCAAACCATTCGACAGGCCAGAACAACAGTGACTGCCTGATAACGGCCAAAGAAAGCAGTACATTGTATTTTAGATTTCATAATGACAAGAAGTAAGGTACCGGTACTGAAGAACATCTCCACGATCGCCCAGCCGAACGGTATCAGCAGCAACAGACAAGAAGATGAGTAGTCTACTCAGTAAAAGTAAAAGTAAAGAAGTACAAGTGTACACAGGAAGAGGAAGATTTGCAGCGATCACACCAGAACACATTCATATACGTTTATATTGCATTATTTCGTATAAAACACTGCTAACAAGTTATGTACTTCAACCTTAGGTTACAGACATCATCTTATAAGCTACGGGCAAATGGTATGCGCTAGATTACTTACAGAATCCTTGCTACTCTGGTATGGAGTAGGCGTCTTCCCGTCTTCCATTGTCGCCATTCTGAATGTTAATGTGAGGTTGTCAGAGTGAGCTCCCGCTTGTTTGTAAACTCATTTGCCGTCTCCACAATGAAGATTGGCTGCAACTGATCTATTATTCTGCACCATACCCCATCTGTCGAATTGAACATAAACTCTTTAAGTCTACAGTTCGTCCATCTCTTGACTTTATCCTCCAACGGGTATTGCTATATGTCTCTTGGCCGTTTGCCTTTATACTCTTCAACCTATAAGAGGGGTGTGTTTTTTTTTTTTTTAATATTTGCGTCAATTTATTCCAGTTGTTTCTTTATTATTTGGTTCAACAACTTTCCTTTAATTTTAGTATTTTCAGAAAATCTGTAATTGACTTTTTCCATGGCATACGAGCTATTATTCTGTTTTTCCACTCTTCATGTAGCAGGCCCTTTGCAGAACGTCGCTTTCATCACAGTCTACCTGAAAGAAACTCGGTCTCTCGCCAGTTCTCCTGCCTCATGCACTTTCATACTCAAGGAGTCAATTATATCCTGTGCCCATTTTCGTGTCGGTCAGCCCCTGCCTCTCCTTCCTGGTACCATGCCTTCTGCTATAGTTTTTTCCAATCCAAATTATTTCAACTACTTGGAAAAAACTCGACTTTTTAGAGGCTTCTTCATTTTCTATAGGGTTTTGCAGGCAGAGAAGTATGAAAGGGCGTGCAAAAAAGGGGGCGAGGAGAGGGTGAGCGGCACCGGGTATCATCACTGAGTGTGTGATAAAATGGCATAAATATGTGTTTTTTAATATATAAAACTGAGTGTGTGGAAGAGGGAGGGGGTGGTGGACAGGACATTTTGGGCGCCGGGTACCACCTGACCTTGCAATGTCACTTGTTGCAGAACCAATCCTAACATTTTTTGGCTGCTTGTGATTTTACGTTCAGTAATTTGCCTTTTTGTCCTGAACAGTTGACTGTCGATACCACTGCTGAAACCAACGCAAGGCGGTCTGTTGCCTAATAGCCCACAGTTGGGATCGAGCCCAGCACCATGGAGTTACGAAGCTCGTTCGCAACGCCTAGGCAACGAGAACTTATACATCTAACAGTTGTTAGTTGCAATGTGTTGTTTATTACTACAGCTATCCATAAATGAAGAAATCAACGTATAGACAGCAGGCTGTTTTGTAACCTTAGCGTGCCCCAATAAAACTGGTTGTATGGTTGACTCCATATAGTAGGTCATGGCTGAGGAAAGTTTCCGGAATTTGCCTTGTTCAATTCCATTTGAATTTTACCTTATTCAATAATTGACGTGGCGACGTAGTAGTAGTACATTTTACACCACAAGCGATAAACACCCGATGACATAAAGTGTCCCTATGTGAATGAGGATCACCCGTGGAGAGGATCCAGAAACCGCGCTCAGCCATTAGGCCATATTTATAGCCGAGCTATGTTGCGGCCCCTGGCAAGAGGCAGAGTGGGGCTTCAAAATAACAAAAAATTTCATCCCACAAAGGGATGAGTGGTATTATTTTTTAATTGGCCGTGTATCTTTCAGGCTACGGTACTGTTGAAGGAGGGGGTAAAAAAGTGTTACTAATTTAATAATTTTGTTGAATATTGATTGCATTTTTAATTAAATACAACACTCAGGACATTCATATAAGGGCTCCGCCACCCCCCCCCCCCCCCCTCTATCGTCAGCAGTAGTGACAGAGTTCAAATTCCGATGGAATAGGTAAAAGCCTGATTGTACGTATACGTCTTGCCCTTCCGTTGATTGCTAAGCATTAGCCAGATCCCCTGGTAACTTCTCGCAGCATCATTCTCCGTAGATTGTGATGATCCATTTCTACCTCTGCACTTTTCACTTGTTCCCAGAGGACCCTTACAACAGCTAGCCTGTCATACATCAATTAACCACAAAGTGGTGCAGAACCAGCCAGTGTATCTGTATGTTCGTTTCTCGAGACACAGGAATTACATAGAGACAATATCTAAAGGACACTAACTACCCGGGACCTCTGAAGCGATGCTTACCAATCTGCACGGAGCATGCCTTTCTCCATCTTTTTTTCCAGTATGCTCTGTGAGTCAGTTACAGTTACAATATGTACAGCTAGCTGGTTTTCAAGCCAGCGGAAGACTACAGTGACTCCCTCTACCTCAGTTCTCAAATGAGATATTTTGGTGTCATGCCAGGCCTTATTGTACTAGGCGACGTCTATTCGCCTTTGCTATGAACCCCTCAATAATATTATTGAAAATATTTTGGCTATCCTATTTTGTTTTTTACTTATAATCTAATACAACAATCTTTTACTTGTCCACTCAATTGATTAGGTGCTGTCTTTACCTAAAAGGATGTGACAGACATTCTACAGTCTCTGTACCTGGTGGTACACATTCCCTAGACTACTGTTGGGCAATCGCTTGATGGCTGACTAATAGTTTGTCCCTTCCGACTTGCTAACTGAACACTTGACACCCCTGCAACCAAAAGATTCACATCCTGGGTGGCAATCCAACATCCAGATATAATGTTCATCATCTCCTATAACAGCGGTTCTCAACCTATGGGTCAAATTACCCTTTAACAGGGGTCGCCAAAGACCAACCATCGCAAAATAAATATTCATTGAAGTTATGAAGTAGCGACGAAAATAATTGTATGGTTGGGGGTCGCCACAACATGAGGAACTGTATTACAGGGTTGCGGTATTAGAATGGTTGAGAACCACTATCCTGGAACTTTACAGGTAACTAAATTAGAGCCACACCAAGAGCCTTAGTGACCTGAACAGGTAAAGATTTCATAGACATGACATTAGTGGCGTCGACACATTTCAGGTATCTCCCCCATTTCTTTAACAACTCTTTTTACTCTGTCTCACACTTTTCGGGTATCTCCCCCATTTTTTTATAACTATTTTTTACTCTGTCTCACATTTCAAGTATCTCCCCCATTTCTTTAATAATTCTTTTTACTCTGTCTCATACATTTCGGGTATCTTCCCCCATTTCTTTAATAACTCTTTTACTCTGTCTCACACTTTTCAGGTATCTCCCCCATCTCTTTAATAATTATTTTTACTCTGTCTCACACATTTCGGGTATCTCCCCCATTTCTTTAATAATTCTTTTTACTCTGTCTCACATTTCGGTATCTTCCCCATTTCTTTAATAACTATTTTTACTCTGTCTCACATTTCGGGTATCTTCCCCATTTCTTTCAATACCTCTTTTTAATCTGTCTCTTCTAAACCTGTACTGTTTTTGATTGTTTTCATTTCTAGGAATACGAAATTTGTATTTTTAGGAATGCAGACTTGTCTTTTGTCCACACCTCAAGGTGTTTTTCCCCGTTACATACTGCGTGCGATACCTGGGTATCACTTTCGATAGAAGCCTGTCCTCTAGGGATCACGGGGAGGCAGTTTTGGTGAAATGCCAAAAAGGACTCAATGTTCTCAATATGTTCCAGCATGTGATCCTGTCAGTGATAGATTATGGACTTGGAATGCTTACCAGATCAAAGAGTCAGCTGATAAAACTTGAACGCATACATAATTAAGCCATGTGGGTAATTCTGGGTAGTACAAGAGATACCCTGATAGTATGTATGTGATATATACTTGAACTGCTTACTATTGCAGACAGGCTCAAAGTTCCACAAGCAAAGTCATATCTCAGAGTTGCTGCAGACAAGCAACTCTTGCATGAAGCCCTGGGTAGATCTAAGGGTCAGACTGAAAAGAGGAAAGTCTTGGATGGCGCAAGCTGAAGACACAATTAGACATGTGTGAAGGCTTGATAAATTTGTGCGAGGGGAAGAGTGGGTCAAAGTGTCCGAGCAAGTTTCAGACTTGTGCAGGGTTCTTATCACCTTGGCTCATGAGTGTCGGGACTGGCCAGCTGCATGTTACTTTGTAACCCTTTTGTGATGCCCAGATATAACAGTAATTTATGGCTGAACTAGGTTTCTGGAATTTGCACCTGTCTGGTTCTCATCCCTGAGATGTTAATCCTGCAGAGTGCAAATCCGGAAAGGTAGAACTTAAAACCGAAAACTCTAAAAACACAGAAAGGAAATATTTAGAGTGATCAATAATATTGGGGCAGACACGGAAGGATCTGAGGGTGACGTCTGTTAACAGAACATCCCTGCATGAGTTGACTGAGGATGTATGCTCCAGCCATGGATAAAAAACAGCTGAAGAAGGCACCAAGAGTTAAAAGCACTGCCAGTCTGTTCTGTATATTCAGTTTCTTACTGAGGAAGATCTCCAGGCCGATTCCAAATAGGCAAGCATCAGAATGAAGGCAATCATGTTCGTTAGGACAACGATTCCACAGAATGTGAGCATTGATTTAGTAGAGCATCTCCTGGTTCTGGAAGTATAGGTACAGAAGGTAAGATGGATCAGGTATGATACGTAGGTCAGCCGACCCAGAAATACAAACGGTGACTAGGACAAGAAGCTGTTTATGAAGCTTCCATAACCCGAGGCACAGGCAACGATGACCTAGAAAGAACAGGTTCCTTAGGTCGATCTGGCCACGGCGTTGTAAAATGCGGTCATCCGCACACTATGAAAAGTCCCAGTGAGAAAACATGCAGGCACTTCAGTAACAGGGATCTTCCGAAGGAAAAGCTGGCGAAGAGTCCACAAATGACCAAGAAGGCAACAAGTCCCACAAACTTGCAGCAGGCTGTTAACACAGAAGTAAGGATTGAACTCTATATGTTTTTAAATTCTGCCAGTGGCCAGCAGGTCAAGGACTTCTGTAGACAACAGATTTGTTGCTGTCCCGGGAATGGACACACCGCTTGTTCACTTCCTCGCTGTAGAAAATCGTCTTCCATTTAGGAAGCCGGTACTCATATTTGGGTAGGGGGATCAGGAAACAGTGCTTGTCCCAGTGGTCTCAGCTCTTTCATGTGTGCAAACCCATGTCCTGCAGACTCAAAGGTGCTATTGTTGACTGAGGCCCACTGTTTCTTGTCTTAAAGCTTTCAATGTTGGTCATCTCTCCATCTTTAAATTGTTTCTGTGTGTAGAGAATCCCAGTTTCTGCAGGAATGCTATCGAAGCCGGTAGCAGCAATCACAAACACGTTGATCTCTTTGGATTTAGCATTATACAACAGCTGCATCTTCTTTAAGTACTGTGGTTCTCCGCTGATGTCCAGGTGGTGAGTGCCTGTCTCGATGCATTCCCTAATCACGGGTTCCCCATAAAATCGATGTGGGCCGACACAGTTTAGCACAAATCTGCCTTTATTAGCCATCTCCTCAAGAGAATATGGATTGCTGCTGTCAGCGATGAAGATTGGAATGTTCTCAATATTCTTGCCTCGTCTAAGACGGCCTGAAGCTTCTGTCCAGAAAACGCCGCATGTTAGCATTTCCTTGGGCCACTTTGTCTGCCGTGTACTGGCCGGTAAATCCACTGGCTCCAAACACGATGAAGTCAAACTTATCCCCTTCGATCTTTCTAGGACTTTGTTTAACAGGAAAAGTACTAGATTATCAATCAAATAACGGTAATAAGTGAGCAATAAAATGATGAAAGATTTGGATGGACGAAGAGCAGGACTAAGAGTGAACTAACATCTGCTACTGCTGGTCCGACCGACCACAGCAACGCTCAAACAAAGGTCAAAGAAATTCTTCTCTTTAGGACAACGATGACAACCGGTGTAGATTATAAAAACATAAAGACACGGGAAATCTAAAGCCACATGCAAAAATGTGTGTTGATCCGTTTTCCAGAAATTAAAGTGGGAGGGCACGAGTTTTGAAATGCATTGTAAATGGGATGTGACTGCAGATGGTCTTTTACTGCAATGACTAGACTGCTCATATACAAATGAGGGTCGGGTTTAATCAATGACAGGCTATCTATGGAGTCTGCAACACAACCGGTCCTTGCAGCACTTCTTAGCAATCAGTTTTTTGGCATATGGAACCGAACTATCCACCCTGACATATGTGTGCTCCTGTAAACAGGACTTGGGCATTATAAGTGTCATTGACACACGGATATTTGTACACAGTACCACTCCCAGTCGACGTAGCACTGTTGTTTCATTGACCATTATAATGCGTCTGGTGCGGTCCGACGACCTTGACCACAAACTTACACCAACATGAAGGCAATCAGAAACACACAGTCCTGATTGACAACAAACTTACACCAACATGAAGGCAATCAGAAACACAGTCCTGATGCAGTCCAATAACAGTTCTACAATCTTCCTGAAGTCATCTCATCAAAAGTACAGATTACACTGACGGTATATAGCTAATTATATGATTTTGGTAAACAATTTACGACGTGAAAATTCCAGCCACCATTTTATTGTGTTCAAGGAAATGAACAAGTGGATTGGCTTGATGGCAGGGCCATGGTAAGTACAGGCCAAGCAATGGAAGGGACCAATATTCTCAATGCTGTCAAGAAGTAGGACCACTAAGTGATTCAGGTGATGATGCTGAACTTTAGGTCAAAAGAGGTATTGCCAGACATCAACACTATACAGGTAGCCTAAGAAGAATGGTAAACCAACATACAACTGGTGTTATCAGTCATTACATGCTGAGGGACTTCTGAAGATAGGATCTGAGCACTTAAGGACTTGTCCTATGTGCAATGAGGATAATCTGTTGATTAACTAAGTACAAATAATCTAGACAAAATCCAGAGGACAGGATTTTCAGTTTCATAACAGAATACTATAGATTTACAGCATACTTTTACCAAAAGAGTTTCATCAGAGACCTTTGTCACCTGTTGATGTGGAGCACAAGAGAAACTCCAGAACTACAAGAATGGACCAGAATTTCCCCCAAATCTTCATCTTTGTTTGCTAGTAAATTGTCATTTCTCTTATGAAGTGGACAGCACCCCACACTTCTCCCATTTCTTAGTGACTATTACTATTGTTTGCTTGTCTTCCCATGTGGAATAAATACACTTGTTAAATTTTCATTGCCTGTATCTGAGTCTGGTATCTTGAATCTGCTTTTTGGTAAAAAAAAAAAAAAAAATAAATAGTAAAACATAATTTCAAGGCTGGACAACTTCACCTTCATGTTTAAAAAAAATAAAAATAAAAACACACACAAACATTTGTAAATTTGTAGTTAAAAATTTATTTACATAAAATAAAGACAACACAAGATCATTTCAAGATACAAAAAACATTAACAACTTTTTAGAGCACTTTTAACCATCATACAGTTTCTAGAAGCTTTTTATGAAATAGAAGCCATGAAAGTACGGTGGCTAGCAGGTTTGCCTGCTGGCACGGTGGTTAAATATTAGAATCCTCATCGAGGTGAGGTGGGGGGGATTTATAAAGAAAACAAAAAACTGACCTGGGCTCACTGTTTGGACTGGCCTGAAATGGTTACTGGGAAATGATACAGAAGGCATTTAACTAAACAAATTAGGAAGAAAAAAAAAAGGTGGGGGGGGGGGGGGGGGAATAAACTGCTGCAATCAAATTGCAAAAATGTTTAATTTTCAGAACATCAAATTAAAATTAATAAAAAGTGTTACTCTCAGATGGCTTAAAAAATACACCTTAATAATTTTCTTGAGTTTCATAACTTCATTAGAAGTGGGTAGACAAATAAGGAGCATCCCATCAAGATATTATATTCTGATTATGTTTCAGTCTGTTAGTAAAGTTGAAATCACTGAAATGTACAGCTCTATGGCTCTACATAAAAGCTCTGTGGCTCAAAAGTCAGTGAAACGGTTTCAATATCTAATCAAAAGACTTCACTTCTACAGCAAGTAGTTTAGAAAAATACCTTTCTCACGACTTGAGATAGTGGCCCTCAAGAAGAGACTGAGGACTCACCACATAATATTCCCAAATACCAGAGAAGGCTAATATTTCTGTGTGTGTTGCCATTCAGTGTTACTAGGTCACTGGTCATTTGCTCTTGACTGTCCCATACCACTCTTATTTTACCTTCTGCCCAAGGCAGTTACTATAAAATAAGTTTTCAGAGTTAAAAGTAACAACCAGGACTGTAGTTAATCCAGAGATCCACTGACCAGCTGGAGAATTTTTGCAAGTAACTTGTTAGTTTTCCATAACATTTGAAAGTGTTGGACACTCAATGAAAATTCTTCTGGTAGATTCATATGAATAAGAGTAAAGTCTGCATACAGCATCAAGCTGGATATAGCTTAAATAGTTGAGCCTGGTATGTTGTTATTGAAAACTGGAAAATCAGACTGCTTTTGTTTCCTACAGAACTGACAGATTCTTTGGCTTTAACATGAGATATTTCAATATCAAAATCTAATTTGGGTAAGGCACCCATGACCTGATATCCCAGATCAGTAGGCAAAGTACATGAGCTGGTATCCCAGATCAGTAGGCAAAGTACATGAGCTGACATCCCAGAGCATTAGGCAAAGAACACGAGCTGATATCCCAGAGCAGTAAGCAAAGAACACAAGCTGATACCTCAGACCAGTAGGCAAAGGACATGAGCTGATATCCCAGATCAGTAGGCAAAGAACATGAGCTAATATCCCAGATCAGTAGGCAAAGAACATGAGCTAATATCCAAGATCAGTAGACAAAGAACATGAGCTGATATCCCAGATCAGTAGGCAAAGAACATGAGCTGATATCCCAGATCAGTAGGCAAAGAACATGAGCTGATATCCCAGACCAGTAGGCAAAGAACATGAGCTGATATCCTAGATCAGTAGGCAAAGAACATGAGCTGATATCCCAGACCAGTAGGCAAAGAACATGAGCTGACATTCCAGATTAGTAGGCAAAGAACATAAGCTGATTTCCCAGATCAGTAGGCAAAGAACATGAGCTGATTTCCTAGACCAGTAGGCAAAGAAGATGAGCTCTGGACATAAGTAAGGTACAAACATGTGGACCACAAAACACAGGAGCCATAGGAAGCATGAACTATCGTCGGTATCTGTAACGTTTGAAGTGGAACCACAGCTGGAAAATGTTGTTATGAAACTGACACCTGAAGCCTCGTTTATACGAGTATTCCCACTCACGGTTGACAATCTTGAAGGCAATGTCCTGAGGAAAGAAAACAAAGTAAGTAGGTCAACGACCCTTTTCCTGCCAGTTGCACATCCAGCATATATTAGACTCATATTTTTATAGACAAATCTGCACTTGATGGGTGATGTGGTCAACATCATGCTGGCCACCTTTACTTCCCAGGATTTTACCTGGTATCCATTTTAGGCTGGGTCAACCTAGTAGCCAAGGTCATTTTTATTTTAAAGAAAACAAAACAAAACAAAGAAAAGTCAAGACTCGATGTGAAAACATACACATGGCTTTATATCTTAAAAGAAATTGTTTAAAGAGAAAACTAGTATGTGGTTGGCTATTTTACAAAGAGCCATAATATCTGATGCAATAGGCTTTGCAGAAATTAGAACAAGAAACCCCACGACAAAAGTTACCTTCAGCAAGATGCAAATGATACCAGTAAGACAGAGTCAACGGCAGTGATACAAAGAGTGTTAAAGTGCTAGATAGAACCGGCCTTATTTTATTTATGTGAAATACAGACAATGAACAGACAAGCTGAAAAACATTTACTGGCTGTGGTGATGTGGTTTTTTAAGAAGGATGCAGAGAATATTGAGCGACAGAAAAACAATCAGGGCAGTCCTTGAGACAGATAAAAGCTGTAAACTGATTAGAATTATCAGATAAAGACATACTGTGTGTTTGTGTGTGGAAATGTTACGAGAAAGAACGGACTTGAGAACTTTGACAAGATTGATGGAAAGAGAGCATGAGGAGGACAAAGCAATACATATCTGGATGGAGCGAGAAAAAACATTGGCCTGATCCTTATTGTGGTGATAGTGTGAGATGGCAAAACATGACAAGTTAAGCTTATCTATGTGTCACATGATGAAGATGATGACGATGACCTTAAAAAGGAAATTGCTTTGAAAGGAAACTAGTATTTGGTTTACTACTTTAAAAGCAGTGTCATGAAGAAAGAAAACCAGAAAGTAGTTCTTGAAGATGATGATGTCCTGAGAAGAGGAAACCAACCTGTTGCTGAATGATTAATTTAAAGTTATCACACGAGAAAAAGAAAAACAGCATGTTGGTGGTTGACTACTGTACACAGTGGGGGAAAAATGAGACATCATTCATAACTGCTGCATACTACTAAGCCAATTATGCAACATCATCATTAATCAGAAGGTTCTTAACAGCATGTCATCTCATCATGCATACTGAAAATCTTTGAAGCCCCAACCTGGCTTTGCTGGGGCCCTGAATATAGCTGGGTTACAAATGTGGCAATAACACTGAAAAGGGTTTCTAGGACCTCTCCACAGGCGATCCTCATCAGCATGGTGGAACTTTGTCACAGGGTGTTTATCGCTTGTGTGATGTCCTGGTGGGGTACGACAAGCAAGCAATTCTCCAACCCTATGTGCTTTCATTGCCAATGTAACTTTAATGTCTTGCATCCATATTCGTGTAGGTCTGCCTCTGCTGTGTGTTCAGAAAATCGTGCCCTACATCACCATTCGCGGTGGCTAAGGCGTTGCGAGTCCAACTCGTAAGCCAGCATACCGCGATCGAAACCCACTGCAGGCTGCGTGGATTTTTCTCGTGGTATGGGACGTCGCAGGTCGACCCAGCCTAAAATGGGTACCAGGATTGGCTGTCCTGGGAAAGTAAAGACAGCCGGCGTAATGCTGACCACATTACCCACAGAGTGCTGATGGTCTGTAAAAATATGGGACGCTCTGCCCATATGCCCGATGCGCCGAAAGGCGTGAAAAGGGAACTTTACTTTACTTACATCACCATTCTCTCCAAGCTACACTTCATAGGGTCGAATATTAATTCTGTAAAAAAGCATTACGTAAGATTTACGTAACATCTAATTAATATGAATATTTGCTAGGTTTAATGTCATGACAACAGAGGACTTTTCTCTAGAAAAACAAAGGTGCAGTACTCCCTACAAAGTGTCTGTTACAAACACACTGATAAAAAAATGATGCACAATTAGAAAGAAAAAAGCTGTTGATGGTTTGTAAGCGTTGTGCACCGCCAGAAGAAAAGCCCCAGTAGTTGATGGGTTTGAACAGATTTACAAGTGTCTAGGTTTTAAAAAAAAACAGTTCACTGAAGTGCAGAGTAACAACATGACTGCCATCCTTCGAAGAACTGTACCAGGTATTGTGAAAGTAGTTTTTTTTTTTTCCCCTTCTATCTTTCAACATTTATTGGAAATCATTCCTTCAACCAAATCACACTCAAGCAATTTATAAACATGTGTATGACTTGTTGGATTTTATGACTAAGGTTTGATATAGGATGAGATAGCCAGCCTCATGCCCAACCTTCCTTTGTCACCTCTTATGACATGTGTGGCAGATTATGGTGCCATTATTCTATGCTTCTTTTGGGAGTTCCAGTAAAAAGTCAGTGTTATTTTAAGTTATCTGGTTTCTTGAAAGGAAACACCAGGTGACTCGGTTTTGTATGGGATATGGTAGTTACCTTCTCGCTAACTCCTCAGTCACCGTGTATTTGACATTTAGGTAGTTAGCAGTGTTACTATTTTTTGGTTCCATTATGGGCTTTGGTAATGCAACAAGAGTACCAGTGTTGTTATTAAACTATTTTCTGCTTGGTTGTACAGAAACACAAGGTAACCCATGGATGAGATACAAGTGCCGCATGATTAGAGTTGAGCAGTACAGGGTCTCCTCTCAAAGGTGAAAAAGAAATGTTAGGAATCTGAGAACACAAACTGATATACAACATTAAAAAAGAAACAGGTATGGTTATTAGCACAAAAAGAAGCTGAAGCAAACCTCATATGGTGGCCCTGCGTGAAACCTCAGCATTGCAAAATCTTTGCTGCCTTCCAGTGGTGTCTGTAACAGGAGATGAATATACAGCATGTAGATTAAATAGACACAACTCACAATTTGCACACTAATTGTTTTTTAATGAATACAGTAATAAATCTGTGAAAGTACTGTTGCTGTTGTTTGCGTTCACCGGCTGTAAACCCCACAAAAAGACCTGGTTGTTTGTCTTATTCTGGACCTTGGCTTTGGCCCAGGACCTGAGTTTTGCATGTGCATCCACTTTACAGATCTTGCTTATCTGCATGCAGACTGTTGGTTCCTTGCCTCTCAGGCAGATGCATTCCAACTTTAAAAGAAGCCCCCAATTAGTCGACTCTTACAACATCCATCTCTTCCAACTTGTTGGGGAGGCAGTGGGTCTATTCTTGTTTTCCCCACAATGGGACCCCGGAACCCACATAGGGACCTGAAAGTATTATTAAATGTAATTATCTGTAGCAAGTAAATTTAAAATGAAAAGCAGTAGCTTCAATGACATTTATAACAATAATCTTGTTTATGTTTTGCATGTCGGCGTCTGTGGCTTAGGCGCTTTGTAATGCCAGGGTGCCAGATTAGATCTCAGCTGCTGACAATTTGTCTTGCATTGGTTGACAGGGGTACCAAGCGATGACCATTCAGAAAGCAATGTTATATAAACAGACAATATCATAGAAAGATAGTATCATAGAAAGATAGAAGGACATTTTCATCATTCATTTTTTTCTCACCATGTTTACTGGTAGTTTTTCAGGTAGATGAACAGTACAGAACTGATGTCACCTCACCATGGTTGTGTAGTGGTTAGCAAGTGCACTCTATCCAGGAATAAGACTTTATTTTGCTCTGAATGATTTCGTGTCAAAATCTGACTAAAACGTTGCGCTCTAGACACACCCGGCTTCAACACTAGTGGAACCCACAACGAACAGACCTAATCCTCCCATCTTTTATAATTCGCAGCACCTTCTCTTATAGACATTATTTTAACTTGTTTAAGTCAATTATGCAATTTCAAATTAAGGTTTGTGTTAACCAGTGCCCAGAAGAGAATGAATGATTGATTATGTGATTGCTGATTGTCTTCTGGCTCTCTTGGATAATTTTGTATTGAGGCAATTTTATCTGTAGTATTTTTATACTAATTACTCTCGTGCTTTTATCTTTACATCCCCAGAAACCCTTGAGGAAAAAGGTCATGAACCCAGGAATTCCTGATTTAAGAAAAAAATGTTTGATAAAATGTTTTAAAAAAAAAGAAAATAACGAAATTTGCTTTTTTTTATACATGTCACTAATGCATGTGACTAATGCATATGACAATAGAGAATTACACATCGCATTTGTAGACCAAATGACAGCTTTTAATCAAGTTAACAGGAATAAATTATGGAAGGTACTATAGGATTACAGAGTAAACGAACACCTTATTAAATTGTGCAAGAGTTTTTACATGAACAATTGATGTGCAGTTAGAATAAATACAGGAAAAGTCAGAAAAGTTCTACATTAGATCTGGAGTGAGACAGGGTCTGTTCTATCACCACTTCTGTTCAACATATAAGTTGACCAAATTTACAAATCAGCTAACCCCAGCAAAGGGGACAACACTGGAGAATTACTAAATGAATTGCTTTTCACCGATGACCAGACTATCCTAACACCAACAGCAGTACAGCTACAAGAACATATTAACAGACTCCACTCAGAATGCGACAACTATGATATGAAGATCCATGCAGACAAAACAGAAGTAATGACATTTCCTGAAAAAGAAGAACCACCGGTATCAAAATTAATTAGCACCAATTAAAGCAGGTAAAGGATTTTACAAATCTGGGGAGCATTTTTCAGAAGATAGAGGAATTAAAAATGAAATCCAACAAAGCTGCAATAAAGCCAGTCAAGTTGTAGGCCAAATGGTACCCATTTTGAAATGCAAGCATGTGAATATGAACACTAAAGGAACCATGTTAAACACAATATTCTTAACAATGCTTTGCTACAAATGTCAAACATGGACACTGTTCAGAAGACAGAAGGAAACAGTCACGACAGAATGAAATGTTTATGCACTATGCTAGGTGCAACGAAAGATCGGCTTAGGAACAATATTAGGAGCAAAGCCAGCACAGAATCAATACTAAACTCCACAGGTAGACAACAAATCAAATTGTTAGGACAGGTAACAAGATTGGCATCAGACAGGGCACCATAGAGAGCAATGTTTTACAGATACAGCGGTAACAGAGCCAGAGGTCGACAACGCAGAAGATGGACCGCAGAAATATCATAGACACTGAAAAGTACTTTATACGAAGCAAAAAGAAGGGCCCGTCCAGAGATCCCTTCTTGTCCTGACGCCACAAGGCATTCCAGGATTAAAGAAAAGAAGAAAGAAGAAAAAGACTATTACATGTTTAAAAAACGTACTTACATCCCAAAAAATTGTTTTTGATATGAGCAGTAATAAATTTAAAAAAAAAACAACTGAGTAGAATGGGGAATTAACAGGAATACATTCCCTTAGGCCTAAAAATTCATATGGTGACTCAAGCTGTTGTGACCGCTAAAGACAAATTTTAACATCACAATAACTAGAAATGCTTTAAAAAAAAAAAAAAAAATCCCGCAAGTGCTTAAAAAAAAAAAAAAGAGAAAGTAAATATTATATCCAGCCCTCCTAAAGACTATGCAGGTGCAAAAAGAACCACTGCCATCAACTAGGCTTGTTGGGAACTGGCCAATGCAGCAATACTGGTTTAATGGCTTTGGGGGATGTGTAACAAATGCAAATGGTTTAGCCAGATTAGCCGAATCTCAAAGGTGTTAAATAAGGATATGTTGTCAGTCTGCTTCTGATGTTGTTTTAACACAAATATATTTAAAAAAAATCAAACATTAAAAGAAATTTATATCACCAGTAAGTAGAACACACTTAACCATAAGAAAATATCTATTAAGTACTTACAACAAAGTATTCAGGTGTTTTGCTTTTATCTATAAGATCAGGATAGAAGATCTGAGGACAAAAATTAATTCATTAATGAAAGTGTTAAGATTTTCTGTCAACTTCAATGTTTTATTATTATTCTCTTAAACGACAAAAGCTAAACTAGGCATAAACTAGGACAATAGGATCTGGCCTTATATACTTGACATCCACAATGGAGCTCACATAAACCACTGTGGTGTTAAGTTGATATAAGGGAGAGACATAGAATCATATGCAAAGTAATGAGCAAAGCATTGCCTTTGAACTGATAATTTGTTTCATGCCTTGAGGCATACCGGGTACTTGGGACCAGCCCCCTATTTTTTATCAGCAAAATGACACTTGATGTGAATGAAGTGTGGTAGATATCACTATGGTAGCCTTTTTGTGTACCTAACACGCCCATGTTTTTTATTATCAGACAATAAATGTGCCACAAACTTCAAAGTTCATCCCTCAGTTAACATCAACTTCATTAGCCATCCTTCTCACAGACACCGATCTTCACATATCCTTTTTCTAACTTTGGTATTATTATGACAAAAACTGGATGTCCTGGCTAGCTTCGACTTCGTTTCCATACCAGTTTTTGAGTGTGAGTTGAGTCAAGAATTGACATCATAGCATTTGGGGCATTCCCATGCATGCTCTGTCCTCATCTTCAGCAGCCAGCCCAGAGTTCCAATAATGATGGTACCGGTCACAGTCTGGTTATATGTCTATCTTGCCTTTCTTCAGAGTGTAGTAAGCCGGCCAAACCCTCTAGTTACTCCCAGGTGCCCCATTCTCTCCAGACTGTAATAATCTTCTTTCTCTACTGATTCTGTTGCTTGTTTCCAAAGGGCCTTGACCACATCTGCCTTGTTTTTTGAGTCTGAATCAATCAACAAGCATATCCTTGACAGAATGTCACTCTTTTCATGGCACGCCTGAAAGTCTTTCTCTAGCTAATTCTTCAGCCTTCTTTGCTTTCACAGTCAATGCATCTTCAATGTCCTGTATCCACCTTCATGGTGGTCGGTCTCTGCCTCATCCAGAAACTGCACCCTTCATCACCGTTCTTTTCAGACCACCATGGCACTTGACATTTCCAAAATACATCAGCTTTCAGGACAAGATGCTGTTTACAAGCCAGTTCTCCTTGATGTTCAGGAAATGCAGAATGTTGATCTTTTTCTTGGTCTATGGTACACTTATACATGTTTGGTGTTGCTTCTTTGAATGATGTGCCCAAAAATAGTGTGGTGGTCTCTTTCTCTCTCTTTCTGCACTTACATGTGTGTATGTGTGTAGATGTAGGGAGAGGGGACAGGCACACACAACAGAATGCTCTTGAGGACATTCAGTGGAATATGCCAGACAATATGTGTGTAGTGGCACTGTTTGTGTCTTTTGTTATATTCTCAGCATCCTTGAGTCAATGGGCATCCAAGCCAGGGAAGAAGAAACAATGTAGTGCTGGATTATGAAGAATTTGAAGTATGTGCATTGGTCTTCTTCTTCTTCTGCCTTTCTAGCCCCCAATGGAGCATAGGCCCTTAACCAACTCACGGCAAATCGTTCTATCCTTTGCTATCGCAAGCATCTCTCCGCATTTCCTCCCCATCTCTCTAGCTTAATTCTCCAGCTCCTTTCACAATGTTTTTTTAGCCTCCTTTCACAATGTTTTTTTGGCCTTCTTTTATTCCCATGCCCCTGTGGGTTCCAATGCAAAGACATTCTAGTTATACTGTTCTCCAGTTTTCTCAATGTGTGTTCTATCCAATGCCAGCTTCTTTTCGTCACCTCTTGGTCCACTGGAGCTTGCTTAGTTCTCTCCCAAAGCTCTACATTAGTGTTTCTATCACACCATTTAATTCCCTCTATTCTGCGCAAGCACCAGTTAATGAGTATGTAGTTTATTAGTAATTGCCTTAGTTGTTCTCTATGTTTCCACCCCATACAAAAGTACTGATTTGACTTTAGAATAAAAGATTTAAGTTTAATATTTCTTTTGACCTCCACAAATTCCACCTAGTGCTATAAAAGCTTCTCTTGCCTTTTGTATTCTTATTTTAATTTCTCTATCAGTTCCCCCATCGTTATCTACATTACTGCTCAAATAGGAGTACGACTCTACGTCTTGGAAAGGGGTGCCATTAAGAGAAACCACATTACTTTTTGCCTGATTTAGTATTATTATCTTTGTCTTTCCTTTATAAATTTTCAGACCGAGCTGCTGTGATCTCGCACCAAGTATATTTAATTTATCTTGCATCTGATTCCGTGAATGGGACAGAAGAGCAATATCATCAGCAAAGTCCAGATCATCAAGCTGTTTTGTAGGGGTCCACTGAATTCCATTCTTGGTGTTAGCAGTTACTGTTTTCATAATCCAGTCTATAGCCAGTAAAAATAAGAGAGGCAACAAAAGACATCCCTGTCGCAGACCTGTTTTTATTTCAAATGCATCTGTTAGCTTTCCCTCATAAAGAACTCGACATTTCATGTCTTTATATGTTGCCTTTACTAAGTTGATAATTTTCTGTGGGATTCCATAGTGCCCCATCAATTTCTAGAGAGATTCCCTATCAATGCCGTCAAATGTTTTTTCATAGTCTATGAATCCAATGTAGAGTGGTGAGTTTAGTTCAATGCTTTGCTCTATTATAATACAAAATGTGGCTATCTGGTCAGTACACGATCTGTTTGACCGAAAACCTGCCTGTTAATCTCTTAGCTTTTCATCAATAGCATCTTTTAATCTTTCCAAAATAATTCTACTTAATAATTTTCCAGGAACTGACAGTAACATAATTCCTCTATAGTTTGCACACTCCTTTAGATCACCTTTTTTGGGCAGTTTCATAAGATATCCTTCTCTCCAGCCTGCTGATATTTTTTTTCATGGTTGTAAGCAAATTTTGTTTCTATTCTTATCCTTAACTATCACTGAAGATGAGCCAGATTCAAACATATGTTAATCAAAATTATAAAATAACTTATTAAAAAGCAAATACTTACATTAAATTTGTAGCCTTGAACAATTTTTGGTGGGGGGTTGTCAATGTCATAATGAGTCTGATTGTATTTGTTCCACTCAAAGCCCTGAAATCATAATTTTTAATTTGCATTAAACAGAAATAAAATAATGAACTAAAGCTGTTCCTATGAATTAAATCTTTAGACTGTATACATTAGCCAGTTCAATAAATTATTACACCCTGAGGAAAAAGTGTGCTAAAGTGCTATGTTTCAGCCACATATGGCCCACAAAATCATTTTTGTCGGCACCATCATCAATACCAGCTAACATAATACTCCCCACCAAAGAAATCAGTTCCAGCCATCCTTTAATGGGCGAGTTTGTGTTTGAGGAGCAGCTGTGGGAATGGTTAGAAAGCTGGGCCCTTGCACGGACACCCGGGTTTGATCCTCAGTAAGGATGGAAATGTTTGTGTCATTGGCAAAATAAAATTCTAACTTGCCGTTTGTGGCAACTTCACTAGCCATGTGGCCTTAAACCCTGAAGCTCATGCTACCCCTCCCCCAGTGGTAAATAAATGAAGTAAAGATAGTGTGTGTGTGTATATATATATATGTGTGTGTGTATATATATATATACACATATATAATAGATATATATAGGCTAATTTTCAAGCTTTTTTGTATGGCCTTGTGAAAGATGTTGGGAGCCGCCATGGTCTGGCTGCTAGACACTTGCCTGCAGATCAGAAGGTAGAGGGTCCTGGCGGGGGCCGGACTTTTGTCAAAAATGACTTAGGCTCTCAGGTTGACCCATCCTTGAGAGGGTTCCAGGTAAGTCCTGGGAAGTAAAGGCAGTCAGCGTGATGCTGATCACATCACCCACCAAGTGCTGTTTGGTCTATAAAATATAGGTCTAGCCCTGTATACCAAATATGCCTAAAGGCATGGAAAAGGGTCCTTTACTTTTACTGTGAAAGATGTTACAAATATCCAAATGACCAAGGACAGAAACAAGGTTCCCCACCACTAGTCTAAAACTGTTCCAGAATTTCCCCCTATTTCAAGAGAGGCTACAACCATGCTCTATTCATTATCACATGGAGGATCTTAAATACAGATAACGATCTGGCTAGCCAGGAGTGAATCTGCTATGATCTCTCCACCATGAAACAGTCTGCCATAAACTGTACAATCTTTACATGCTAAAAGAGTGGCAAAAACTCCCCATCATGATCACATGATCAGCAGCCTATTTTTTTTTTTACATGCCTGCATGGAGAATTCCTCTTCTTCTACTTAGCGTTTACAAGCTGTAAATCCTGGTTGTTCATCCATCTCTTTGGTCTTGTTCCAGGACTTGAGGGTTGCATGTGTGCAGATTTGTGACTACTTGCCTCTCAGACAGATGCACTTTAACTTAGAAGGCAACACTGATCCTAAGATGGTCAGGCCATTAGTAGAGATCCTGTTTCTAGGATGGCTGTGAAGTGTTGTTGTTAGATCTTAACCATTATCAGCCCTAGTCTTGGTGCACAACTCTGTGTGGTTCAGTACTTCTGCATCCCACGTGGAGAATTCAACAGCATAGAATAAACTAGACGATTACTTGCCAAACTAGTTGTAAGCACGTTATCTCAGTACACGAGTGAATAACTCAGCATGGGGAAAAAAATGTTAAAGCATAGAATCATTATTGCATGGCTTTGAGAAAGAATAATCAAATTCCATTGACTCAAGGTTAGAAAAGGATGCTGGCATTTGATAAGAAACACATAGATAACCTGAAAGTGCATGAAGAATAGAATTGGATACTAAGATGATCAATTTTGGGAGGATAAGGAGTCAGGAGGCACAATATGAGTTGGCTGAGGACCAATCTCCAATGATAATAAAAGTTAAAAGAAGAATAAGCAGTCTGTAGAATTTTTGAGTCCTACTGATAAATTCTAGTAAAACAAGACATTTAATTTAAAAATAAAAGCTTCAAATGAATCCTTCACTTACTGTATGCACTCTGTTGAAAAACCGAGGCTTTCTTGGCCGATACTTGTCTGACCACATGAAAGACTGCTGTTCCAGATTCATCTCAACACTGAACTGGGCTTCATCCATGTCCATCCCTTCTCTGGCTTTCTTTTCAAACTCTGTCTCCCCATCAGACTAAATGACAAAATGATAGAGAGAAGAGAAAATGGTAATATAATGCTTCCAGATAACAGTGTAAACTAAAATGGCAGATGAGTAAACCTGAGTTGAACCTTAATATTCACACAAACTATAAGTAAGAATGTAAACAAAAATGGTATAGCTGCACAGTTCTCTTGCCTTACAGAACCTGAATTACATGATCAAATCTTCCTTGATCGTGTGAGATTTGTCTAAACACACTGCTTCAAAGCTTATCAAACTGGATTAAAAGGCATAAAGTACAGAAGTCCTTTCACACCATGAGGTGTACTGTGTATATGGTTCTAATCTCATATTTTTGACTCACTGACACCCAATGGGTGATATGGTTCAATACCACACTAGCTGCTTTTACTTCCCAGGAAATATCCTGCTAATCTGTTTAGTCTAGAATGACCTATGGCCCTCAAGAGACAAATAAACCAAGATTGCACTACTGCTACAATAGGTTTTAACTTTAGCACACAATTTTGAGGGAAAAAAAAAAAGGTGACAGTCAGATGCTCCTGAAAGAGCCTTAAAAAAAAACCGATTGTCTGTTAAGACACTGGCATTTAGGCATTAGGCATTTGAGCGGACTTATATTTTTTAGTCCCCATGTTGGTTTTGGGGCCACATTGTACGAAAAAAAAAGATCAACTGCCTCCCTAAACAGCATGCCGAAGGTCTACTAATCAGAGAGGTACTCCCTTCAAAGTCAGAGTGCATTTCTCTGAAAAGCAAGAAATCAACAGTCTGCATACACATAAACCAGATCTGTAGAATGCATGTGCATGCAAATTTTGGAACAAGAGGTGGATAAGCAGCCAGAACTTTCTGCTGCAGTTTACAGCCTGTGAATGTGAGAATATTGAGGTTTTCAAATACATCAAATCCAGCCTGTAAGCATCAGGGTATCATAAAAGGTAAGGGATCCGTAACCCTCCTCAATGGAATAAGCTGTCAGCATCTTGTTAAAATCCAGCAACATAAGTTACCAACATGGGAGGCTACATTTATGAAAAACTGACAAGAGAGCAAGAGGTTGCCCAAGAATTTAATGAATTGATAATATTAAGTATACTAAACATTCATATTTTCTTTTTCTTTTTCTTGTTTTCCCTGCCCTTTCAGATGAGAAGGCCACAGCCCTCTATAAAGACTGTGGTGCGACTCATGTCCTTCCCTGATCCATGCAGTTTGCCAACTGACCAGGCTTAGTTTTCTGTAGTGCCTCCTCACATGAACAAAGTTCAGTCCCCAATCTTGAATTTCTTGTATATATGACAGTAAAGTCCACTGTGTAAAATTCGCAATCTAAAAATAATGGTTTGTGAGCTAAACATTAAGGTGAAGTGACAACAGCTAGTGTTGCCTATTAGTTAGACCACCAAACGCTCCTTAGGAAGCATCATCATCATCATGTAGCAGGTCCTTTGCAGAACAACATCACAGTCTGCCTGAAGAAACTCGGTCTCTCGCCAGTTCTACCGCCTCATGTACTTTCATACTTAAAGAGTCACTTATATCCTGTGCCCATCTTCGTGTCGGTCGGCCCCTGCCCCTCCTTCCTGGTACCATGCCTTCTGCTATAATTTTTTCCAATCCATTGTGGCGCTTGATATGACCAAAATATTTCAGCTTCCGAGAAAGGATGCTGTTTATTAGCCAATCTTGCCTGATTTCAGATCTTTCAAGATGTCAATATTTTTTCTCTTCTTTGTCCAAGATATTCTGAGAATCTTTCTATAGCATTTCAGCTCAAAAGCCCCTATTCTCTTTCTTAAGGACTGAGAGATAGTCCACGACTCACATTTGTATGTAGCCACAGGAAAGATGTATGCTCTCAAAATTCTAATTTTTATCTCCTTGCTGGTGCTTAACCATAGACTTTTAAGGCTGTTCAACTTTTGCATTGCTATGGATTTCCTCCTTTTAATTTCTGTTGAACAGTCTCCATTGCTGTTTATTATACAGCCTAGATATTCAAAGTTTGTGACATTTTCAATTTCTTCATCATTTATTGTTATTTTTGGGTGACAGCCAGTTTTATCTGTGGACATTATTTTCATTTTCTTTAAATTCAAGAACAGATTTTGATCTTCATTGTGCTTTTGGACAGACAATATTAAATTTTCTATTCTCTTTACGCTGTTCAAAAGGAGGACTGTGTCATCTGCGCAGCAGAGTTTCGGAATAGGGTTGCCACCAATTTTGAGCGGATCATAACTGTCACAAGTCTGGTCATTTTTTACATTCATTTTTGGCTTCCATGATGAGGAAGCATGATGGTAAAAGTGGAAGATAATGCAAACAGCGAATTTATTTTTAAAAAAAAACAAACCCTGTTAACAATGGTAATCAATGGCAATAAAAATTGTTTAAAAAGAATGACCTCTGTGTGGATTCCTAGCAGAGTTTCGGAATAGGGTTGCCACCAAGTTTGAGCGGATCATAACTGTCACAAGTCTGGTCATTTTTTACATTCATTTTTGGCTTCCATGATGAGGAAGCATGATGGTAAAAGTGGAAGATAATGCAAACAGTGAATTTTTTTTTTTTTTTAAACCCAGTTAACAATGGTAATCAATGGCTATAACAATTGTTAAAAAAGAATGACCTCTGTGTGGATTCCTAGGCCCAATTTTTTTTAAAGGAAAAGTAAAGGATCCACTGCCCCTCACTAAACATGTCATAGAATTTGACTGCTAAAATCAGATGTGTTGCAGATATTGCAGCCTAGCTGTAAACCACAACAGAATGTGCCAACCACCCTTATAAGGGTGAAAGCAGAAAAAGAAGAAGAAAACAATGATTATAGTTACAGCTCTTGTGAAAGCAAACATTTACATAACACATACCCTGACAGTGCCTGTTGCGTACACTTGTTTCCGCGCTAGCTCCAGTTTCTTAACGTCGTCCACCTCATCATACACAACTGAATCAATTGTAATATCTTCTGCTTGAAACAGCCTTGGAGAATAACCTCCTTTTAAGTATTCTAATTCCTGAATGTCCTCTTCTGTTGCTGCTTCTGTTTTCTCCTCATTTGTCTCTCTGTTTTCCTCATCTGAAGAACTGTTAAATAAAGAAATTAATTAATATGAGGCTAGGAAATTCATGTACATACATATCTACCATTACTTTCTTCTGGTGATTGCTTTCTGATTTATACAGACGGACAGTGATATAACTGACTGTTTTTTAAAGCTCCCTTTTAGTTCCATACAACTCTGACTATGGCATGACTTGATAGCATTTAACTAATGAGTTTTTAGTAGAACACAAAACTAACAAATATGTCAGAGACAAAGTCTCAAAATTTACAGGATATCATGAGCCTCTCTTGACAGTGGTGAAACGTCACAAGCTAGCTTGGTTTGGGCAGGTGGTAAGACATGATTCAATTGCAAAGACTGTACCTCAAGTAACATTGGGGTGGGGGGGGGGGGGGGGGGGGGGGGGGATTCAATTGGGGGGTGGGGGGGGGGGGGGGGGGGGGGGGAGGAGAAGGGCAATGAGAACATCAAGAAGTTATCATACACTTATTCATCAAGCGTAGAATCATTAATGTATGGCTTAGAAGAGTAAAGTAAAAGTCCCTTTTCCACGCCTTTAGGCATATTGGGCATATAGGGCTAGACCTATATTTGTATAGACCATCGGCACTTTGTGTGTGATTAGGTCAGCATCTTGCCGGTCACTTTTAATTCCCAGGACTGCACCTGGTACTCACTCATTTTAAAAATAAATCTGGCCCCGTCAAGGCCCAAACCTTCTGATCCGCAGGCGGGCGTCTAACTGCCAACGCCACGGTGACTCCCAATGCGTGACATAGAGAAAGAACTAATCAAATTCCATTGACTTAAGGTTAGAAGGGGATGCTGGCACTTGAGGGATCTAAAGGGGTCAGATTTGTATTTCATAAATATGATATGAAAAATACTGATCTGGAAGATAAAAAAAAAAAAACAGATGAAACAAAATGAATACTAGATTATGTTTAGGAAAGAGGTCTGAGGAGAATGGCACTGTGAGGAGTTACAAGGGGATCTGGCTAACACTTGACACTCAGGGGAAAGGTGAGATGGATATACAATCAGATAGTTACTGGTACCAGCGGAATTTTAACTCTTTGCTTGCTGCTGAAGATAGGGACAGAGCACTTATGGCGGTGTCTTGAGTGCTGTGATGTCGATTCTTAATTAAACATTCAACATAGGAAAGAAAAACAACGAAACAGCAATAATGCCACAGAACGAGAAGATGAAGAGAATATAAAAGTAAACTTAAAGAAGTACTTCTTAAAGTCCATGCTAAGTGGCTCTGCTAATCATGTCTGCCCCTGGCTTTCTGTCTCTTGTCAATCATTTCTGTCAATCATTTCTGATACAGGTGTTCACCTACTCTATGATGCCAAAATGTCCAGCCTTTTCTCTCCGAGTATCTCTCTTCCCCTTCAACTTTCCCCTCCTGTTTTATCTTTCTCATGATTGGACCAAAGAATGTAGATTGTCTCCTTCTCATGTGGGTAATCAGTCAGTTTCTTTCCAGACATCTTCATTACTCTCTTTTTTACCATAACTTCTGTTTTTCTGCAATTCAGACTCAGATCTTCATTTCCACTCTCTTATATAATTATGTCCATAATGTCTTGCAGTTGTATTTCACTTAAATTTTTAAAAACTGCACACAAACAATAACACCCAATGATGGCATAACAGTAATACTTACTCTTCACTATCATTCTGCTGTGACATTTCAGCTCTAGGAGAGGTCTCATTTTCTGGGTCTATTGCCGAAGTTGAGGCAGTTGTTTCTCTGTCTCTACTGGATGTACCTTGTGATTCTGGCGAATCTGACATTTCTGGTTTTACTGGCTGCAGCACAGGAAACAATGGCCCTGACTCAATTCCTTGCTGGAAACAAAAATTGATAGAAAATAAAAGAAATTAAATTTCTTTGTCTGAAAGTTCAATAAGGAAAGACAAACTGTTAAGCAGAAAAAGTGCAAAGGTGCTTTCCATTAAAGAATAATGTGGATTAGAAAAGTTATCAGAAGTACCAATAAGCATGAGAGTCGCCATGGTGTAGTCGCTAGATGCTTCCCTGCGGATCAGAAGGTCATGGGTTCCGGTCCTGACAAAACCAGGCTTTCTTCAAAAATAACCTTGGCTCCCAGGTTAATCCAACCGTGAGTAGGTATCAGGTGCAATCCTGGGAAGTAAAGGCGGCTGAGTGATGCTAACCACATCACCCACCAAACGCCGACTGGTCTATAAAAGATAGGTCTAGCCCTATATGCCTGAATAACAAATATATGCTTAGAATAAAGATCTTTTACTTCGTACTTTACTAATAAACATGGGAGGTTACAATTCACATCTGACATGATCATCAGTCTCATTCCCTGCTTGGATTCCTAGCCCCTTCATAGGGGAACAAGAAAAGACCCACTGAAAGGGTACAATAATCAGAACAAGGACACAGACCTGGCCTAACACTCTGGTGATCCTGTGAGACTGTATGTGCTTAGACCTATTACTATGAAATATGATGATGATGACAAAGAAAAGGTAAACAGTTATTTAACAATTTGAAAAAAATGTCTGCATTCACCCTTTTAAAAAAAAAGGGGGGGGGGGGGGGGTGTGGTTGGACTGTGTTACGGTTTACAGCTAGGCTGTTATATCTGTGCCATTAGACCTAACACACCTGATTTCAACAATCCCTTAATTCTTCTTCTTAAAGTCCATACCGTGTGGCGTTGATAGTCATGTCTATCCACAACCTTCTGTCTTGTATACTTTTAATCAACTCTGACACAGATGACCCTCATGCTATGATGTCAAACTGCCCAGCATCTTTTCTCTTGGTCTCCCTCTGCCTCTCCTCCAGCTTTCCTACTGTCGTGATGTTCTTCAGTTTTCTATTTCTTATCAAATGACCAAAGAATGTAGACCGTCTTTTTCTGATGTGGGCAATCAGTTCTCTTTTTAAGTCAGTTTCTTTCAAAACATCTTCATTACACTTTTTATCTGTCCAGGATATTCTCATCATTCATCCACAAAACCCCTAATTAGTTTCAGTTGGTAAATTTGGGGGGTGGTGTGGTTGGGGGCAGTGAATCTATTCTTTCCCACCACATCCAAAATGAGGCTTCAGAACCGATAAGGGGAACACAAGAACAAATATGACAGTTTACTGTATACAGAATTAACATTTCCTACACTCTTTACAGTTCATTCAAAGAAAGAAAATGTTCAATGTCTGTACCTCTCTCTTTAATTTAAACAGTTTTTGCCTCAGAACTTCTTGATGTCTTTCTCGCAGACGAGTCCTCGCCTTATGAGCCTTTAACTGCTGCAATAGAGACTCCCAATAACCTGTAGAATAAAAATAAATAATGGTATTTTCATCATTAGTTATAGAACCATTCAAGACATGGAAATGAAAGTTAAATGCATAGAAAACAAATACCTAAGAAAAACGATGAAAATAAAATTGGATGAATTCAAAAGGAGTGAGAAGTAAGAGAAGAAATGTCTGGGCTAGTATCAACAGTTATAAGACAAAGAAGATGGCACTACACTGAACATATCCTGAAAATAAACCAGCAGAAAATCATCAAACAGGCATTAAAATGGGAAATAAGGAGATGACAATGCCCCCCCCCCAAAAAAAAACAACCTAAGACGAACACTGATGACTGAGACCAAAGCTGCTGGACTGTATTCCATCCGTGATATTGAACTGATTGCACAGGACAGAATGGAATGGGGGAATAGACTGCGAATTCACAAGTTCAGTTTATAAAGGGATCCAACAGGATCGTCACTGGAGCTATCGTGTTCATGCTTTGTGCGACGATCTTGGCAGGCTGCTAGCCATTCTGTGAAGAGAGTGAGCTATAGGGGATAGAACCCAGTGCAATGAAGCTGATCCTTCCAACTTTAACTTTAAGTTTCTCTTATCCTGAGCAAGTAATATTAGCAGTGGAAAAAGGAAAGTCAAAAAGAGAATAGGAATGGCTAAAAATATTTTCAACATCATGTACGAAATACAGACATCTAGATACATAAATACATTACAAGTGAGAACTGTCAAATGTTATATTTTGCTCAACCCTGAAGTATGAAGCAGAGGTCTGGAATATGAACAAGCAACTAGAAAAAACCATGTTTATTCTCTGGAGATGTAGATGTACAGAAGAACAGGTAATATTTCATGAAAACAAGAATGAACAAATACAGAGCTTCTGAAGAGACTAGGAATGACAAGAAAGTTGCCGAAGGAAACAACAAAGAGACAAGTGAAATTCTGGAGGTAAAAAGCTGAAGGCAAGCAAGCAAGAGACAGACAGCAATATAAATGGGAGGAGAACATAAAGATATGGATGAACAGCGGTCTGAGAGAGTGTACGTTAAGGGTGAAAGAGAGAACATGTAGAAGATCGTCAATGTGGAAATGGCACCTGATGGAATTTAATCATGAACCCATGATGGAATTTAATCATGAACCTATGATGGAATTTAATCATGAACCTATGATGGAATTTAATCATGAACCTATGATGGAATTTAATCATGAACCTATGATGGAATTTAATCATGAACCTATGATGGAATTTAATCATGAACCTATGATGGAATTTAATCATGAACCTATGATGGAATTTAATCATGAACCTATGATGGAATTTAATCATGAACCTATGATGGGATTCAATGTTCTAATCTTGTAATATGTCAATAGGTTTCCCTTACATCTGCTTGCTACCAATCTGCAACAAGGGCAAGTGATAAATAGTGTTAGAAATCCAATGCAGTCAACCTTCACTGTGTAAAGGTTAGTTGCGTATCCTTTACAGGACGTTGCAGAACCAACCTCAACAGCCCCTGGCTGTTGTGTGGTTTTTCTAGGCAAATTTATGTCCAGTAGTTTGCCATTGCTTTCTGGACGGTCAGATTTCTTGATACCACTGTCAAAACCAACGCAAGGTGCATAACCTGCAGCTGGGATCGAACATGGTATTACGAAGCGTTCGCATCGACTCAGCCACAGAGCCGACTCACTGTATAAACCAAACCTGAATAATGAAGTCACGCACACAATTCATATCTCACTTTCCCAAATCAAATATAGGCAGTGCCTAAAAAAAAACAAGAGAGCATAAATATACTTGTGTGTGTTTGTTTACAAAATTTGATTTGTTGAATAAGACAAAATGCAGTGTTTGTAGTGCCTGGCATTACCTTGAAATTATCAGCCCCAAACATCAAATAGATATCACAGGAAATAAAATAGGACATTGAAATAAAGGCTATTCTGTACCCCCAAATCCCTTTTGCAGATGCAGGAAGTCTTATTTGATTCAATGACTTCAAGAGATGTGTCAGAAGCATTTGCCTAGTTATATGCAGTCTCCTAAATCAGACAGACAGAAGGGTAACAAGGCAAACTAGTCTGCTTTGCAACAAGATCTGGGGGAAGTTTAAGATCAAGGAATGCTAACGGTACTTCTGTAAGGGAAAAGAAAAAACCTACCTGCATAGTCTGTCGCAACTGCATTAGCCATGCAGCTTTAAAGCCTCAGGCCCGTGACCCACCAGCCCTACCCCGCCACTAAAATTGGCACATACAGGCAGTAAAGTCAGAGAGTTAACAACCGGCAAGTCTAACCAGGTCAAAAATGCCTGCAGAAGTCGGATGTGTTTGTCGAAAGGCGCAAATATTGCAGCCATGCTGTAAATGAGCACAATGCAATTATGTTTTCCGATGAATGCAGAAAAAGAAGAAGACAGTTAACAGTTTTGCCTGCTGAAATTTGACAGGCCCAATGAAACAATGCAATATCTCCTTCTTCTTCTTTACGTCCTCTTCTACAGCTTCGGGTGTCGAGGGAGATATAAGCTCCTGCTTCAAGCTCTTCTGGCTTCTTCGACCATAGATACATCGTGAAGGCATTCTCTCCAAGTGGGCAAATCATTTGATTTTCTGTCTTTGTATGTAATTTAGAATTGGTTCTGTGCCAACTTTATCTTGTATGACCTCATTCCTGATTTTATCTCTTCTGGTCACTCCTACAGCCTTTCTCAGACACCTCATTTCCATGGTTACTAATTTTATTTTATGTTTTATTGTGAGTGACCACATCTGACACTGGTCGCATAAGGTGGGAATGAATATGCTTTGTATGAGATGTCTTTTTATGCTGATTTTGATTGCCTTATGCTGTAAAAGGGGGCTAGCTGTCCCAATACTTGGCCAGCTTTAAGGCATCGGATATTAATTTCTTTGTCCGATTTACCATCTTCAGTGAATGTTGTTCCAAGATGTTTAAACTTAGATGCCTGTTTAATATATGTATGCTCTAATGCTATGTTTAAATCCTATTTTTTTCTTCCTATTGACATTACTTCTGTCTTTTTGACGTTAACTCTCATATTATTTGATTTACATTCTTCATTCATGGATAGGAGATGCTGTTGCAAATTCATGGCTGTAGTTGCAATCAAGGCCTGGTCATCAGGAAAGAGTAATTCATTGATGTTACTATTATTTTTGTTCCTGGCATCCTTGCTTATACTGTCAATGTAGGTGAAAAACAGGAGTGGTGATAATACACATTTCCATCTAACTCATAACTAATTATGATGAGGAAACCATGAAAATGAACTACAACTTATTCTGCCTTTCATCACTTTTGGAAGAACTGGTCTTCAAAAAATTTACTTCGAACCCTCTTCATCCCTGTGTGGATTATGAGGCTCCATTTCAAGGGGGAAAAATAGTCCCACAGCGTCCCTAACAAACAGGCCATAAAAGTTGACCAATCAGAGGTGTTCCCTTTGAAGAGAGATTGTATCTGCCTGAGAGGCGAGGAATCAAAAGTATGCATATCAATGAGCCAGAAATGAAAAACAGATGTGCACACAAAACTAAAATAAGGCCAAAGTCCAGAAGTGGACAAACTACAAGAACTATCTGCCAGAGTTTTAAGACAGTGAATGCCAAGAAGAAAGAAGAAACCCTCTGCACGCTTTTCAGGATGATCAGATTTTAAAGGTGACTAATTAGAGATTAACTGAAATCAGCTGTATTGTGCTGAAAGGTGCAGATACCACAACTTAGCTGTAAACCACAACAGATGACATTAACTGTCTTTGTAAAGGTGAACCCAGAAGAAAATAAGTAGAAGAAGGCATACAGGCCGAACTTACATCTGGTCCACTGAAAACTGCAGAACAGGCAACATCATCATATAGTATGCTTACCTAGAAACACTAATGAAACGTACAAATGTTATTTACTGTAAATATTTCAATAAGTGTTTCTTCAAATCTTGGCGCCATGGATACTGTGTTTAATTCCACATTAAAAGGGGTATATGACATGTTGTGTCATGGCCCACGACATTTGCGCCCCTCGGCTAAACACACCTGACTTCAGCAAACTCACAATAAGTTGCTTTTACTGCTTGTTAAGGAAGCATTACACTCCCCCCCCCCCACTCTCCCACCCCCAGGCCCCTGAACCTACAGATATAGAAAGAAGGAACTTGTATTTGTCAACATTGCTTACCGACGTCAATGCCTTCTCCCCCACTCAGCTTGTCTTTAATCTGCTTCTCCAGTAGCTTGAGCTGATTGGTAGTCTTGCCTTTAAAGATGTCTCCGATATCTGAGGAAACTGCCTGATTGATTCCATCTCGTCTGTCGCCGATGTATTCTTGAAAAGGGAGAACTACATTCAATTTAGTTTGAGGAATTGTTATTTTAATGTGAAAATACTACATTTCAGCTATATATTTATAAATGATCTTTAAAAAAAGGTTATATTTTTTTGGGTCCTGGGCAGCCATTGTGACTAACAACAATTACCTAAGAAAAAAATATATAATATTTTATACAACTATAAGGAAGAGACAGTGTGGTTTACTCTTGAGATAAGAAGAAAGGCTTTGGATTACAAACTGATGGCTGGTAAAATTAATGACCAAAAATCAAAGGCAGAGTAAAATAAACTTTGCTCCACAGTCTCACTGAGGTATATCATCAAAAGAACTGCCCCAGATCACCAAGGACTACAATCGGTGGACGTAAAAAACACACCATCTAGAAAGAATCACAATGATTACTGCACCAGCCAGCACTGTAGTTAATATATTTATAACTCATCATCATCATCAGGTGCCCTGCCGACTGGCGTGGGCGATCATGCTTCTCCATAATCTGCGATCTCCTGCAGCATGTATCAGTTCGTGTGCCGACGCACCTCCATGCCATGCAACAAGACTGTCAAGCATCTTCTCTCGTTGTCTTCCTCTATCTCTCCTTCCACATATCTTTCCAGTGGTCACAACATGTTCTATTTTCCCTCTTCTCGTAACATGGCCGAAAAATGATGACTGTCTCCTTCTGATGTCTGTGATAAGTTGTCTTCGGGCTCCAGCCTCTTTCAAAACCTCTTGGTGGCTCTTTTTTGGCTGTCCAAGGTATTCTAAGCATTCTTCTGGACCACATCTCCGAGGCCTCCAGAAATTGTTTGGCCTGCCTACCGAATGTCCAGGATTCACAGCCATATGTTAAAACTGGATGTATGTAGCAAGCAATTTATAACTAAAGATAACAAAAACGTATTAAAAAGAAAAATTAAACAGGTACAATTACTTTAGATACCTAGTTACTTTTCAATTAGTAAAAATAGATGACAAATGATTTGCATTGTTGAAGAAGTAGATTGAAAATTCAGGAGATGGCTAAGTACAAAATGCAAATCAACATCAAGGAAAAATACCCCTGGTGTTTGAATCTCGTTTCCTAAGTTTAGCAAGTTCATCTTGGGTGACGGTGATTATATCTCGCCAATAGTCAGCATTCTTGCCCTCCTCCAGCTCCAGATAGACTTTGATGTCTTCTAAGAGGTCCTCCAAATCCCGGATGGTCAAACCCTGAGAATAAAGAAAAATGTTTTATTATGTAATGTCAAGGTACAAAAGGTCTTACAGTATACAGCTTTTCTGCAAATCACCCAGTAACATTAACTCACTGCTCAACACGTGTCATTTTGTCTATAAAATTATGGGACAACAGAAACAGCACTTTTTTTAAAGTAAATATAATTCTGAGCAAGTCTTTTATGTTTAGAAGATGTTTTTGCTGAGAGCTCCTTCATATCTCAAAGCTCGGAAACCACTAGTATACAAGAACTAGAACTTCACATCTGTGAACTAACATGGTTGTAATTCAGATTAGTACACTTATTCTATTTCTTAAAGTCCATGCTGTGTGGCATTAATAGTCATGTCTATGCTCAGCCTTCTGTCTTGTGTACTTTCAATCAACTCTGACACAATTGATCCTCCATGCCATGATGTTAAAACTATCCAGCATATTTTTTCTCAATCTCCCTCTACCTCTCCAACTTTCCCACTGTCAAAATGTACTCCAGTTTTCTTTCTGATATCGGTTCTCTTTATGAGTCAGTAAATTAGGTAGGTAATATATTCTCCAGATACTTGGTTTTTCAATGTCAATGTATTCCATCCTAAAGTCAAGACAGAGTAGAGTGTACAGGAATGAAAAAAAAAAGTTTTTTTTCTTTTTCTTTTGAGTTTATCCAAGAATGTATATGTGTTGTGCCTGTTCACAGCATGGTTGTGATATTTGTACCTTTTGATGGACACATCCCACTTAAAAAAAGAATCTAATAAACATAAGAATAGATAAGACAACATCACTAATGACTCTTAAATAACTTTTAAAATCATAATTATCATGTGCCCTGCCAATAAGCATAGCCGGTCATGTTTTACCATCTCGCATAATCAACCGAATCCTGAATCAGGTTAGTGCTCGTCTCGCCCCATCCATGCCAGATTTTTTAAGGAGTTATCCCTTTGCCTTCCCCTTGCTCTTTTCCCCATTAATCTTGCAAGACGCCACCAATTTTTTGAATCCAAACCTTCCTGTACACGTTCAAAACCCATTGACAGTTTTAAAACTTATATTTACTGTGTAATTTTACTTTTAAGTGCAGCTCTGTGGTTTAGAGGTTAGTGAACACGCTTTCACCATACTTTATGTATAAAGGCTCAATACCAGCAGTTGGCAGTTTAGAAAAAAAGACCGCCCTCATGACTATCATACACTGGTATGGAAGAAAAAAGTGCTCCACAGCTGCAATGTCTATAATAGGAGACACTGATCTGACACAGCCAGGGCGACACCCCTGTGACCTTTAGAGAAGTCGACACGGCTGATGAAGTATGAATGAAAAGTTGATTAATGTGTAAATGGATGGGGCAGGGGCCTGTAATTGTGATAAGAACAAAAAATAATTGTGCCTAAAAAATGTATGAAATAATTCAGCAAAAAAATTACAATAGTAATAAAATTAATCAGCTGACAAAAAAATTACAATAAATACTGATGAAATAATTCAGCTGAAAAATAAACTGCAATAAATACTAATGAAATAATTCAGCTGAAAAAAAAAATTGCAATAAATACTAATGAAATAATTCAGCTGAAAAATAAATTGCAATAAATACTAATAAAATTATTCTGCTGAAGAAAGAGCTTAAGGTAATTTTGGATTCCCAGGGAATTTTAGTTGCTTGAAATCTTATCTGGATAAGAGAAATTTCAGATGAGAAGAAAATCATTACTGGGGTCCCAGGTGAGTTTTCCTTATCAGGTCTGCACTACAGTGATGACATAATTCTGCTTAAAAAAAAAACAAAAACAATTACACAGAGTACTAAAATGTCAGATTTTGCTAGTTTACTGAATACTTACATAAAGATATGAATAAGGTTCATGCATTTCTACAGCAAGCTCATCGTCCTCTGCACTGATGTACTTGGCCAACAGATCAATAGGTTTGGCTGGAGAAAAGACACACAAATCTGTTAGTTCCATAGTCTCGTTAAGATGCAGCAAACCCACCCCAGCTTTTATTGGCTCTTTGTGGTTTCTGAGATATAATTTAACATTCAGTAGTTTGATACTGATTTCAGAATTGTATGACGTTCATACAGTTTGCAAAATCAATGCCTAGTGGCTTGCTTAGAAGAGCTGCAGGGATAACAAGAGATAACAAAACAAACAAACACACTTTATTTTTTTAATTTAAAAAGAAAAGAAGAGTTACATACATGTGCACAACATGACATTGATATTACCAACACCTTTCAACACAAGAGCTTCACAAGTTTTTACATGTTATAAATGGAATGATCCAGATACTAAGAGTCAGAGTGATTACATCTTGATGAGAACAAGAGACTTTCATGAAGTTATAGATTCGAGAGTTATACCAAACTTGAGTTTTGATACAGATCATAGGATGGTAATACTTGACAGAAAAGCCAAGATGAGTTTTCAAACAAGAAAGAAATGTCATGAAAGTGACATAATTAAATTAAAAGAACTAGCGTGTGAGGAAGAAAGCGAGCATTTCTGTAAAAATTACAGGACAATTATGAACAACTTCCACAAGAAACACTTGGGGTAAATACAGAATGGGTTAAATCATAGACACCATTATAAAAATAGCACAAGAAATATGTGGAACTAAAAGGAGTTGAGTTAGGTTGGGTTGAGTCAAGAACTGACATCACAGTACTCGGGGTATTCCCATGTGTGCTTCGTCCTTATCTTCAGCAGCCAGCGCAAAGTACCAATACTAGTGGTACCAGTCGTAATCTGGAACTAAAAGGAAAGGTAACATAGGATGTGAAAGCTCTCAACATGGTGAAATTATAAGAAGAATAGTGCACAATAAAAAGAAAGCCTATGGCATTTGGCTAAGGAGCAGAAATGAAGAGGATTACATAACATACAGGACAATTAGAAAAAAAATACAGGACTATGAGACAAGCAAAAAGAGATTCATGGGAACAGTTTGGAAGCAAGCTGGCTTAAGAAAAAAAAGAACAGCAGTGAAAAACTACCACAAAAAAATCAAAGGCATAAGAAATAGGAACGAAGAATAAAACCCAACATCATCATCATCATGTAGCAGGTCCTTTGCAGAACGTCGCTCTCATCACAGTCTGCCTGTAAGAAACTAGGTCTCTCGACAGTTCTCCCGCCTTATGAACTTTCACACTCAAGGAGTCACTTATATCCTGTGCCCATCTTCGTGTCGGTCGGCCTCTGCCCCTCCTTCCTGGTACCATGCCTTCTGCTATAATTTTTTCCAATCCGTCGTGGCGCTTGATATGACCAAAATATTTCAGCTTTCGAGAAAGCATGCTGTTTATTAGCCAATCTTCCTTGATGTTCAGATCTTTTAAGATGTCAATATTTCTCATCTTCTTTGTCCAAGATATTCTGAGAATCTTTCTATAGCATTTCAGCTCAAAAGCCCCTATTCTCTTTCTTAAGGACTGAGAGATAGTCCACGACTCACATCCGTATGTAGCCACAGGGAAGATGCATGCTCTCAAAATTCTAATTTTTATCTCCTTGCTGGTGCTTAACCATAGACTTTTAAGGCTGTTCAATCTTTGCATTGCTATGGCCATCCTCCTTTTAATTTCTGTCGAACAGTCTCCATTGTTGTTTATTATAGAGCCTAGATATTCAAAGTTTGTGACATTTTCAATTTCTTCATCATTTATTGTTATTTTTGGGTGACAGCTAGTTTTATCTGTGAACAGTATTTTCGTTTTCTTTAAATTCAAGAAAAGATTTTGATCTTCACTGTGCTTTTGGACGGACAATATTAAATTTTCTATTCCCTTTACGCTGTTCGAAAGGGGGGCTGTGTCATCTGCGTAGCGGAGTTCCAGAATAGGGTTGCCACCAATTTTGAGCGGATCATAACTGTCAAACGTCTGGTCATTTTTGACATTTCTCATTATATTTTCTGCGTATATATTGAATAGGTATGGTGAGAGAATGCACCCCAGATGTTTCACCAGCTGCTCTGATGACTGCTTGTTGTTCATGATAGAGATTTTCAATTAATTGCACTAAATGCCCTGGAAACCCCATACTTTTCATAATAGTCCACAGTTGGTGGTGCTGGACACAATCAAATGCCTTGCTATAATCAATAAAACAAGCATGAAGATCTACATTGTATTCTCCACAGTTGGTGGTGCTGGACACAATCAAATGCCTTGCTATAATCAATAAAACAAGCATGACGATCTACATAATATTCTCTGCATTTTTCAAAAATTATTCTCATATTAAATATGTGATCCCTAGTTCCTCTACCCTGTCTGAAACCCACTTGTGCTACATCTAGTTCATATTGTAATTTCCTTTCAATCCTTTTCATGATAATTTGTAAGAGGATTTTGCTAGCATGACTTATTAATGCGATGGTACGGTAGTTGGAGCATAGTTTTGGATTTCCTTTCTTTGGGAGAGGGATATAGACTGTTCTTTTCCAAGCTTTAGGCCAAATGCCACTGTTCCAGATCTTCGAGCACAGTGCATGGTAGATTCGGACGCTGGTCTCTCCTCCTGCTTGAATTAGTTCTGCTGGTATTTCGTCGCAACCTGGTGACTTTCCTTTCTTCAGGCTGTGTATTGCTGATCGTACCTCATCCAGGAAAGGCTCTGGTTCTTTTTCATAACTTTCACAAGTCGTTTTTGAATTACCTGTCACATCCTCATATATTTCTCTACAGTATTCTTTCCATCTTTCTAATATGTCTGGTTTCTGTTAATATCACTTATTACATGTAAAGAAGGCCTGAATTCGTATTTCAATGTTTTAATTTCTTTAAACATGTCTCTGTCTCTTCCTTGCACCTGGAGTTGTTCAATTTTATTACAGGTATACAACCCAACAGAAATTATAAATGATGAAGGAGGTCAAACCTTTAATAGAACCTAACAAAATTTTTAGCAAGGTGGAGCAACTACTCTGAATCATTACTTAGCTGCAAAAAAAAAAAAAAAAACCAGGGAAGAACATATAAACAAC